ATGCCAACTCATTCTACCAAAAATTAAGGAAAAACAGTTCTCGCTGTTTAGTACTTTTTCCTTCCAGAGACAGTCGTGCTAAAATCTGAAATGCAAATTTTTCGAGAGACTCGTAGCTTCAAGACCGAATCCACCCATAACAGATCACGATCTCATTAAGGTTCATCCATGAATCCGCATGCCCATAGGAATTTCAATTTCTAAAATAAACTTATTCGCTCAGATACATACTGAAATATCATATTTTATCTCTTATTCTCAAGAAACATGTAATAACTAAGGGGATGAATGAAACATTATAAATATAGCTACCGAAGCAACTAGATCAAAAGCCAAACCAGCACCAGGAAAGGAAAGTGATGAGAATGAACGAACCAAACAGTGACTCGTGTACATACAGAGAAAGCTCGGGTTATGCCACCACATGATTCCTTGACTGCCACTTACAATACGATAATACTAGAGCATGAATGCATTCTCCAATCATCGGGTTTCATCCTCAAGGTTGCGGAAACCATTGGTCAGGTCCTCGTGTAGCTTCGTAAATTTGGCAACCAAAGCAGCTTCACCTTCTGCTGGATCCTCAAATTTCTGAGACCTGCAATTTCAGCAGATCAACGGAATAAAACTTACTCTCCATGTCAAATTAGTCCCAATGTGAATTAAAACTACTTACACTAAACGATAGAATAGATCTCCCAAACGATGCTTGATGAGGCTGTAAGTTATCTTCTGACCATCTGTACCGGCTCCCCTCTCTACTGCCTGCACATTTAGCCACCCCACGTTAAAGATCCACAATTACAATGCTACTTAACCATCTTAACTGAATTGGCTTTTCAAGCCCATGTAACAAAACTTTGGCTGAGCTATGAACTAAAAACAACATAAGGAAATGAACAATTTCAGGTCTCAGAATATGTGAATGGAGGAGAACTTGGTAAAATAGATTGAACCTGACAAGTCAACCTGCCAAAACGAGATAGGTTGGGACTTGTGTATTTCAAGTTTCAAGTTTCAACCCACCAACCCAACATGACCTGCCTATATGCTGGGCTGGTCAACCCACTAGTCACTTTTTTTAAAAAAATAAAATAAAATGTTAGATTATGGTTTGGTTGGTCTATATGAATGGCTATTATGTGAGACAAAACCTTTTCTTTTAGGGCCATAATGCTATTATTTTATTGGGAATGTTATTTTTTAATCACTTTTGATTCGGCAGAAAAAGAGATTGATAAAAAAAACAAAAACTTAAGCTTGTTTTTTGGATTGAAATACTAGTACTTATACAACTTAAATTAGATGCTTATGAAATTCTAGTTACAGGATGCAATGATGTGTTCATTTGCAAATATTCACATGCTTGATGTTATTATTTTGTTATATAATAATACTGGAATTATTAATTAATCTTAAGATATGATTTGTATAGCAATGTTATTTGAAATCATTGGCTTAAATCATTCTTTTATCTTTAACTTATTGCTTCACTTTTTTTTAAACTTAAGAAATATTTAGATGTTAGAAATTAGAAATAAAAGATTAGCATTAATATGTTTTTTTTTTAATATTTTATTTTTTAGGCGGGTGGTGGGTTGGTATTTTCAACCCACTCACCAATGACCGGTCAACCCGCCCCACCCCATTTTTGGCGGGTTGAAGGCGGGGTGGGCAGGTGGACCCATTTTGCAAGAAGCAAAAGAGAAGAAATGAACTATTAACTTGAACATAAATGCCAAACATGTATATGGAATACACACCCTATCAACGGTTAGCAGACCCAAGTAAGAACTAAAACCACTGACCGGTTCCTCACACCACCATACCTGATTTGCCAAATTGTAAAAATGGATAATGTTGCGCATCATCCAGACAGACTTGTAGAAGGGACAGAATTTGTCATATCTGTCATGATCACCGAAAAGATAACAACATAAGACGAGTGTCAAATAAAAACAATAGGAGTTGAATTGATATATTCAATATAATCCTCACGGGGTGAAAGCATTTTGTGCAAGATAATCCTCTCTCAGAAGCTTTGCAGTTTCTAAGGTGATCTTGTCTCCTTCAGCTAAGGCATCCTTACCTACAAGCTGGAACAATTCACATGGTCATTATCTTAGATGTAAATGCTCCAATTTGATTTACTACTTGCAGAAAACATGTATAAAAATCCTGATAAATTTTGTCCAAAGTATAAAGGTGATGTTGATGTTGATGTAAAGGAGAAGGTCATAACCCAATAGGTGCCACTTGCAGTGGTTAAAAGTGGTTGTTTGAACTCTAGGTCGAAAGTTCGATCCTTGGAGAAGCACTTTGGGGAGACCTTTGACCTTTACCACACCAGGGTCAAAATTACAAAACAATATATATATATATATATATATATATAGGGTAAGGATCATTTTACACCAGTGTAAGTTACACTCTCAATCTTATGCGTTGATCCCACTTATATCTAAGGGCTCAAATGTTTTAGTAATATGAGCCATTGGATACAAGTGGATCAATGGTCAAGATTGAGTGTAAAACTTCTAACTCTTACACCGGTGTAAGAATATCCTGCCCCATATATATATATATATATATATATATATATATATATCTCCAAAAAAAGAAAGATAAAGTCATAATTTGGCATAGTGTGTTAAAAACTCCATTCTTTATCAGACTATTTATTGCCTTAAGTTTATTTTATAACACAGGTTTAACAGCCTCAGGTTATGATACCTCCTCTATTCACATAAATTGAAGCTCCACAATTCTCAACCCCTTCCCAGTAAAGATGATGATGACATTTCATTAACCTACATTTAATATGAGAGAACCAATTAGAACACACCTGGACAATTTCATTCAGGTCATCTTCTCTTTGCAGCACTTCACGAGCCTTTGTCCTAATGTTTATAAAGTCTGGATCAAATTGCTCATAAAAGGATTCCAATGCCTGGAGGTTCTCAAATATATATAAATCAACAGCAGGAACTATAGGAATACAAATGAAGAAAGCGGAAGAGAGACTATGAATTACAAGGTAACTGATTTTAGGACATACCGTTGAGTACTTTGAATAAGAAATAAGCCAGTTCACAGAAGGAAAATGCTTCCTCTGAGCAAGCTTTTTGTCCAAACCCCAGAAAACCTGCCAAAGTAACAAAAAATTATTTACACAAAATATTAAAGAAGAATTAGGTAGAAGAAGAAATAAACACATGTATACTCATTTTGACAACCAAATTAGGGTTTTAAGAATTTATGGGCCATCAGTTAAGATAACCCAAGCGATTTTTTCCCCCTGGCAGTTACTCAGTTTTGATAACCACATTTGAAAGTATAATTTGACCTGAACTATGCTGAGGGTTGCAGAAGTCACAGGATCTGAAAAGTCTCCTCCAGGTGGAGAAACAGCACCAACAATTGTGACACTACCAGTACGTTCAGGACCTCCAAGACATTTAACTTTCCCAGCACGTTCATAGAAAGAGGCTAAACGTGCAGCAAGGTACGCAGGATATCCACTATCTGCAGGCATTTCTGCCTGTATAAACAAAAAAATAGCTTATAGTTAAGAGCCATTAAGTTGAAGCAACACTACAAGTGATTTCTCATAACAAAACATTGATCAATGTCAATGTTTTCCCATGTGTCATGCCCCATGATATATATAAATTGTCTACTTTATATTAATCAAGGAAGACAATCTAACATCATCAGTAAACACAAAATCATACATGTATTAGATGCAGAAAAAGAGAATTGAAAAAAAAAAAAAAAACTATTTCTAAGTTAATCCAGCGAACAAATGTAATTGCATAAATTAATATGATGCTAACCAGCCGTCCAGAGATTTCACGCAATGCTTCAGCCCATCTAGATGTTGAATCTGCCATCATGCTGACATTGTAACCCATGTCTCTAAAATACTCAGCTAAAGTGATACCTGGGGAGGGAAAAAAAAAGTGATTCCTAGGAGTCCAAAACAATACACAGTCAAAAGATTGCTCCCATAATAAATTCTTTCTAGTAATAACAGCACCATTTACATGAGTTAAACTAATTCAAAAAACATCTTTACCAAGACAAGCAACACATACATCAATTCTCAGGTAACATTCTAACAAAGAAACTTCAGTACTCTTCCAACTGAGTTGCCGCTCCGTGGGCAGTTACACATTTAATCACGTAACATTGAAAATACATGTCATTACAAAATGGAATTTTTAACTACATTTGACAAATCAAAGAAAAGTGAATATGATAATCCTCATAAAGTTTCAACCAAAGTATACAGACTAGCCATTAAAAAGTGTGTATATGACTTAGCTCAGAAATTATGTAAACAATATACATTCTTTATTACCTACACTGTGAATATACTACGGTTTCAGTTCATTGAAAACAAAAAAAAACATAACGAGATAGATAGAATAGCAGATTAATCTGCAGAATATGGATCTTCCCCACTTTTGACGCTTTAAGCACAGATCAAACATTAAGTTTACTTCGCAGCAATGATAGGTGCCAAAAAACACAACTGATTGCAATGCAACACTAACAACTTTTACAAGCCAAATATAATTGTAATGGATAATGGAAAAAAACAGCGAAGATAAATATATCAACATAAAAATTATGTTTTAGAATTTAAGAGGTAAAAAAGGAACCTGTATAAATTGAAGCTTCACGAGCAGCCACTGGCATATTTGAAGTGTTAGCCACTAGTGTTGTACGCTTCATGACAGATTCTTCACGACCATCAGGCAATGTCATTGTAAGTTGTGGAAAGTCCATCAGAACCTGAATAATCATTAAATTGGTTTGACCAACTGCAAAATACACAAATACAAATATTTCATAGAAATAACAACATAGGAAAAATACCTCTGCCATTTCATTTCCACGTTCCCCACATCCAACATAAACAACGGTATCAGAGTTTGAATACTGCCAAAAACAAAAATGGGCAAATTGAAAAGCTTCATGAATTAGGAAAAACATTTAATAGTTACAAAATCAATATGGCTTGATGGGTGTGTGAGGTTCACCTTAGAAAGAGCCTGACTAATGACTGTTTTACCACAACCAAAAGCTCCGGGTATGGCACATGTCCCGCCAAGAACTGAGGGGAAAAGAGCATCAAGAACACGCTATACAAAACACAAGTCGTCAGGCACGAGAGCTATCAAAATTTGTTCATAGATGATACAACCAAATGACCAATGAAAATTAAGTTTACCTGACCAGTAAGAAGAGGAGTATCAGCTGCAAGTTTTGATGCAACAGGCCTTGGTGTACGTACTGGCCAAGTCTACAAGGAAATAAATTGCAAATTACATCCAAGCCAAGTTGCAAAATAACATATGGAAAACCAAAACTCCAAAAATGCAAGAAACCTGAAGCATGGTGAACTTTTTCTTGACACCTTGAAACTCAAGCTCCAATACAGTATCCTGTAAATATATAGAAAGACTAGTATCAGAAAATACAGAGAAGCTCCTGAATAAATAAAAAAAGCAGAAAATAAACAAGTTTGGCAATCCTGCCGCTGTCACAAATTTATGAAGCATAGAGATGCCACAAATAGCACTCTTATAACAATTCAACAATGATCTTTAACAGAAAGTGAGCTGGAGACTCAATAGCAAATAAGTTCAAAAAACAACCTTCAAGGAATATTGACCAGGTGGTGCGACGTAAGTAATCTTTCCCATGGCATCAGGAGGAAGAGCAATATGGTGTTGCATTAGACTGTTCTCAAAAACAGTCTGCAATGGAAATCATGTACACAAAGCTTCAGAAAAAATAATAATACAATAAACAGAAATAGGTTCGATGTACTAGCTAATCTAAGCGGCAAAAGAAAATATACAGCGTATAGATCTCCACCAGTCAATAGGTCTCCTTCACCTGTCACCAATGAATAAGATAAAATATTAAGGGGAATAAAGGACCACATTCCACAATCAACAATCGTTTTCTGTATAGCATAATAGCATCTAAAATTAGTAGTAACAATATGTTCACTGATTACCAATTTTTTTAGGCTGAAACTCCCATAGTACATCTTTGTCGAGTGCTGGAACAGACACACCACGAGGAATATACACATCACCGGATCTTTTAGCAATAGTTTTCAAAGGCCTCTGTTTTGTTCAGAGATGTTAAAGTTAGAAAGAATATGAAAACAAAAAGAATTACTTAATTAACTAAGTAAGAAATCAATTGAAGAAATAATTGAATATTGCATACAGATTAGAGGCAAACCTGAATGCCATCAAAAATATTCCCCAATATTCCAGGCCCCAACTCCACGGACAAAGGCTGTTTAAAAATAAACTGCTTATCAGCTGATGCTGGTCACAAGAATTGAAACGATAAGAAAAAAAGGATATAGCATCTAACCTTGTGTGTCCGTAAGACAGGATCATTAACCATTAAACCAGCTGTTTCCTCATAAACTGAAATTGCAGACAAAAAAAGATTTCTTTGTTAAAAATAACAAAAGGATAAATCTCATACCGTCTATGTAATCATAATATGATATCACGGAAGGGTTGTTGTGGGGTGTTTTTTTTTTTTTTGGTGGTGGGGGGGGGGGGGGGGGGGTGTGTGGAGAGAATGTAAATGTGTAATACCTTGGATGGTAGCAGAATCCCCCTCCAAACGAATAATTTCGCCAATGAGGTTATCACGACCGACACGCACTAATTCATACATAGCAGCCCCAGCCATGCCATCAGCAACCACCACTGGTCCTGAAACCTGTTTTAGTTGGGAAAAGCATAATGATACAACTTTAGCATCCATGGCCCTACTATTCACGTTATTGGCAAGATAATTTAATTAAGGGGAACGTGGCATGATTGGCATATGGGTTATCAATGCCAGAACAACTTGAAAAATTATAAGATCCTAAATGAAACAAAAGTAAAATTGTATCAAATGTATTATAATAAGGTAATGGCAGCATACAAATACCTAAATGGTGTATTGTATAAGACGGCAAACAATGAACCAGACAATAACTCACAGAAAAGGCTAGTAACTTCACAGTAACCACAAATTCAACATAAATCCGGATGCATTCAAACTTAAATCCGGATTATTAGACTCAACTCGAGAGCTCAAATTGAAAATCCCAAACATCTAAATGACCTCAAATTCAAAAAATATAGCATGTTTCAATACAATGATCGACCTCGAAACGTAAAAAAAAAAAAAAAAAAACTCAAAATCAACAATCAAACGGTGTGATTCAACTCGATTGTCAAAATTTAACGTCTCAGATTTTTTTCTTTGAAAAAAAAATTGAAAGCAAATGTTATGGCATAAATCCGATGATAATGGAAGTGATGAAGGGGTGTTGTGCATACCTTACGAACGTAACCGTATTCACTCTCCTTCTCGGAGTCTTCGAAGGTGGTCAAGCGAGCTCCGTAAACCGCTGGCATTTTCAGGCAGAGATCAGATCGGAGAAGTGTTGATGAATTTGAAGATCTGAAAGGACCAAAACCCTAAGAAACAGAGTCAGAGACTGAGAGAGAAACAAGAGAGGGAGAGACTGGGAGAACGTTAATCATTGAACTGTCGTATCGTCATCGTGATGATGGCTTGCAAGTTATGATCCACTGCGGATACATGCGTGACTGTGAGTATGCAATCTTCTTTCTCTACCAATTAAAAATTGCCATGAAGACCTTTTACCAATTAAAAAACTGTCGGATCATAATAAGAGTGGTCCCAACACTTTTTTTCTTTTTCTTTTTTTAGCTAAAGCCTCATTGGATCTCTAATAAAAATTACGGTCTCCATTTTAGTCTTTTACACAAAAAAATTATTCTCAAGTTTCCTAAAAAATTTATAGTAGATTCATTTAGTTGAAACCATGATCCTTACAAATTAAAAAAAATCCATGTACTAAACAAAACAAAAAAGGGTTTTATTTTTCTTAGGTTGCATGAGACAAGTTGTCTCATGCAACACACAAAAAAGTGGATGGAATCCACTTTTTTATTTTTTCTCTCTTTACTATAGTGGGTTCCACTCACTTTTTGTGTGTTGGATGAGACAACTTGTCTCACATAAGAAAAATAAAACCCAATAAAAAATACCTTCACATCTATTCAGTATTTAATATTATAATTTTTATTTTCATTTAATATTTTTTTCCTTAACTAATACCCTTATACACACTTGTTAACAATTTTACACTGTTTTTTAATAATAAGAATTTAGTATGGTAAAAAGTTATATATATTTTTAGAAAATAAATTAAATTCGAACCTTAAAAAAGATAATAACTTATCAGTAACTAAAAGCAATAGAGTATGGCTATCAAAAAAAGCAATAGAGTATAAAAGAAATAATTTTTTTTTTTTTGGTATCCTTTATAAAAGAAATAATCTAATAAGCAATAACAATGCAATAATAATAATAAATCATTATTTTGAAAGTGGAAAATTATATTACTCGAATATATTACGGTTTTTACATAAAAGGTGCATTAGTTTTATGTTTAATATATTTGGAATTTCAAATTTAAAATAATAATTTTAATGAATTTTCATTTAAAAAAATTTGACTTGCTAGGCACGTGCATAAGAGAATATTTTTAAATTTGGCAAAAAAATTGAAATATTATTATTTTAATAAATAATTACGAATATATAACTCTTTTGAAATTATTTACGAATTTATTGCATTCATTCACCCCAAATCGGGTGTAACTGACGAGGCATTCACGCCTAATTTAAGCGTGATTAGTCAGGTGTTGACATGTGGCACCAAAAAGTAAACTTATAAATCGTAAAACTTCGGAAGTCCATAACTTTTGAATCAAGCATTCGAATTAGGTAATTTTTTTTTATTCCATATTATTTTTGAGATTTACGCAATAACACCTCATTTGACATGTTTTATCTCTTACAAACGCAGTTCGAATTTGCAATAATAGTATTATAAGAGCGTTTAGCCCCAAAAGACTCCGAGTTCTTTTCAAACCAACTACTCGAATTATGTTGTTTTTAGTCAAAATTTGTGAAAATTTTGTCTAAATTTAGTCAAACATATTGTCTCGCTGTTCCTGCAACTCTAACAGACATAATTCAATTAATTAAAATCTCGACATAATTGATTTTGAAATCGAGGAAGCTAAACAAATCAAGATTTTTATTTCTTCCCGCCAAAATTTGGCAAACACCCTTGTGATTATGATATCATTGTTACAAATTTGAATTATGTTTATGAGGGATAAAATATGCCAAATGAGATATCATTGCGTAGATCTCAAAATGTTATTTGAAATAAAAAAATATCTAATTTAGATACTCGAGTCAAACATTATGATGTTCCAAAATTTTACGATAACGCAACTGCATAACAAGATTGTGTCACTTAATACAATCCGAGTGAGTTCCTCGTGGGATTGCCACATTCACCTAAAAAAAATATGTGAATGCCTCTATTCAGTGTTGCTGAAATTTCCCGCGACACTAAATGTCTTTTATTAATAAATACAGTGAGTTAAATATCAGATTGTGAAATTAAAGGGAAAAACCCCCTTTGTTCAAAGAGCCGTAATAGGTGACTAGCTGTCTAGCTTGCAACCTTCTTGCCTATATGCACAATAGGGCTACTCAAATCTTCTAATGCACTAATCTTGTTTGTGGAGTTTGGATGGGTATAAATATACCTAGATTATGTAATAGTTAGACTCATATTTTCTTTCTTAAATTTAAAAATACAAAAAATAATAAAAAATCCACTCATTAGAATCATGATTAGGAATCGAGGGGTGATTTTAACTAAATATTGGCATAAGAGGAATGTTATTATATTGACAATAACCCAAAAGAGTCCTATGTGAAATTTTGGTTTTATCTTTCTTTTTACAGATATTAAATCGGTGAAATTTCATCTGAATTCATAAAAGTTTACTAGGAGAGAGATAAACGCAAATCTAAGTCTTGTAAAAATCTAACATGAGAAGATCCATTATCCTATTTGATTGTATTTTTTTTAACACAAATTCTTTATGGGATGAATTTTATGTAGATTCCACTAGAAAGAAAATAAACCTAGATTATTTATTGAGACTCACATAAAACTCCCTCAATGATAAAAAAAAATATATTAAAAATGATATATCAAAATTCAAAAAAAGTGTTGCTAACGTTTCTTTTTAACCACAAATCCATAAATAAAATAAATTTGGACAGAAGGCACATGAGGAATTCTCATTATCGAATATGTTCCATCAGCTACATGCTTTCTTATTTTAACATAGTATATCAAATGCATGTTTCCCTAGTTAATATATTTCACATCTATTATTCATTCAAATTTGCTATAAAAAAAAAATAACTGTCAGTGTAGGTTGCATGACCAGGTTTGAAGTACAAAAGAATTTAATAGATGGTATATAATATGAAAATATTGAAACATTAACAAATAAGTAATAAACCCTGTACTGTAGATAAATACAATTTTCATAACAGTTTAACTTCAATTTTCTAACAAAGATTTATACAGTACACTAAGCTAGCAAACCAAAATACTTAGAAGAGGACACAACTTAATGGGGGTATAAGTAACATTTAATAGCGAACCAAACAAATTAGTTTTGCATTGCCTGACTTAAATTAACACATATCATTGTTATGCTTAACGTAGATCTATTCAAACACATTCAATAATAAAAACGAATAAAAAACAAAATGCCTGATAACACCTAATACGGGTACAAGTACAACAACCATTTGGGAGGGAGTACCCGGTCTAAATTTCTATAATTCCCCTCAAATTTAATGATTTATTTTGTGCTTTGATTTCTCTTTTGCAGCGAGGTAAAATGGTCATTTTCTAGGCCGCTGCAATAATAGCTTGTGTTCATTTATGGAACCGGTGAGAAAAAAATTATACTTCGTTCTACAAAATTACAGTGTAGCATGAATAATGCCTACTCTCATCTACCTACAAAACTATTATCAGAGGCCATATTGGGATTATATTCTATATACAGAGCCTTTATTGGGTAAACTGTATAGGTCGTTTGTAGTACACAATGGAAGGTGCATCCTTTACATTTTAACTAAGCAAACTATTCCATCGTTCTTTAAGGGCCTCATAAGCCTTAGGACAAGGTACAGCCAGTAATCCACGCTCTCCATCAATACAAGTTTCAGTTGCTAGGCTCAGCCTTAATAATGTATTGAGTGCCTTGTCAATTGGCATTTCAACCTGCCAATTTCGAATTGTCAAATAATGCAAATTATGCAATGATTGCAGTCAGCACTACGACCTAACAGACTAAAGTATATACTTCAGAGAGCAGACCTCCCTATTGTATCACCTTTATTTTAAACATTTCATACATGAATCTCTCACATTTCTCTCCAACACTTTGTCGAGAAGTGACCTGCAGTCAAGAATGTTTCACATATGAATTATGTTTTTCACTTGATGCTTTCTCGTAAGATGGATTTGCAAACAATTATTCCGAACCAAAACAACTATATGAAAATGCATTAGCAGAACTCAAGGTAGCATAACTTAATTGGGAGGAACAATTAACAAACCTGACCCTTCTCTGCTTTGAGTAGGACGGCATAAGCCAAAATAGCTTCCTTGTACTGCACACGTAAAGTTTTGGGAGACACAAGTTAATGAAGGTCAGAATACATAAATGCATAGAAATCATAACAGTAGTAGTTTCTCACTAGCTGCTGTTCAGAAGCATCAAGAAGAAAATGTACTGAGCCAAAGCCACTTGCTATAGTTTTTTCATAAAGTGTCTTGTTGACTAACAGCTGCAACACAACATTCTTGACAATTAAGATATTTTTCTTTCCACAGAATGCCAAGAAAGAACTATTTTTCATAATCTTGTAGCATAATAATCTCCAATAGCGCAAGAAAAGATTAATGTAATTTACCTGATACCGATCCCATGTCTGTTTGTATCCTAGAACTACACGACTCCCATATATTATTAGAGCACTTATGGCAACTACATCAAGTAGTACTGCTGACCTGACATAAAAAAGTAAAATATTGTTAACAAGCGCTCCAACAGCTTCTCAAATGATGTAACTTCTAAGCGGGAGCTACCCAGTTTGTGAAGAAAAATAAAACAATGTCTTTTTAAAATCAGAGATGGTTGAGCCTAACTATGTCGAACTTAGAACCATAATTAAACTCATTCATAGAGATGCTGCAAAATCTTCAAGGAAAATTATCATATGGACTGAGATGCACATACGGGGAAGATAAGACATTCTCAAATTTGTAGTTTATGAAGTATGCCAGAAGTCCCAAAATTGTGGCAACATCCAAGCGAACCTGTAAGTTTACAGTTAATAGTCACAAGGCTAAGAAAATGAGGGTAAAAAAACCTTTGCAATATACTAAAATTATCCCATCATTATATTATTATTCAATTCATTACAGGAAAGCATGGCAGGTTTATCTATCTTGTATAGTAGTTCCAACTAAAGAGACATCAACGAAGTATGGACACTATCTACCATAATCATGAAAGTTGTGCTGAGCATATTTATCATACCTCTTTATTAGATCAAGACGCGATTACCCAGACAACTATTTACTTGTCAAATTGGGCCAGGCTCTGATTTAAAAAATGGGTTTGTTTTGGGAAAGCTTATTAACAAAGGGAGGAGAAAAAGATCAAATTACATTATAAATACAGAATAAGCATATAGACACACTACTACACCATAGCTTGCAACTTTAAATGAGTTTAAGCTAAATCTAAACAAGCAGAAGAGTTTTAGCAGCTTCTTACTGTGTCTATGATGCGGAATGATAGCTTTTTGTGAGGAAAAATTACCTGCAAATAAATTGAATATCATCTGAACAACTATACATACAAAAATGTCAAGTTATGACAGGAAGAACACTAAGAAGAGTCATCTCGTCTGAGATCTGACAGTCCCTGCAGTGGCAAAAATATTACCGGTAGATCTGGAAAAGGAATTCTCTCATAGATCTTTAATTGCAATGATGGAACCTCAGCTTTATCTTTAGCGTTTGTTTCACTAACTTCTTTGGTATAAAGTAGAATTAATTCTTCAAATGCTGGCTCCTGTTTTGGGAACGTATAAAACTTGGATCAATTTTTCCAGCATAATATATCAGCATAACCAAGAGATAAAACATCATAACCAGTCTCCAGCTTAACCTCCCCCCCCCCCAAACAACAACAACAAAAAATTCCCAGTGGAGAATTTTATTAACCATTACAACTAGGAACATAAATTCAATACCTGTCTCAAAAAATGAAAAACCATGTCAATTATTAGGAAAATTATGACACTAGTATATTTATAAGTAATGGTATATGTATGATCTATCTTCTAAATGCTGCAAAAGGAAAGAAATTCCATGTACACATGAAGGTCACAAGCATAAGGTACGTCTTAAATTAATACACAAAGGAAGAGTTAGAATAGCTCTCCTAAATACATATTTATGTAGCTCTACAAGGAATTATAGATAATAGGGAATACCTGCAGGACTGACTGTGAGAAAAGTATAGAAATGGAAGTTTTCAACATTTTCCAAGGATTGTTTCCACAGTATTTCCTTGTTGCAGGTCTCCATATATCACTTAGTGATATCCTTGATAGAAAAGTAGGCCTGGATGGAGACTTTTATTGATTGGTCATGTCAAACAATGGTGCTTCTACCAAATTATCCCTAAAACTAGGAAACTAAACATGACATGAGGACACATGTCTTTAGCAGATATTGAATCACTCCATCTGTCTATTTCAAGGTTTCAGTTTTATATGATTCTAAACAATTAGTTTACCCCGTGAACCCAGTAAGACATTTAAAATGAATTAAAACCAATTATAAAGTGGGAGCTCATGCATGAACAATGTCAACCAGGAGGTAGCTCAATTGGCGCTGGCCCGAGTCTCTAATATTGGGGTGGGATGATGATGATGCCGTCAGAGGTTTGATTCTCCAATAAGCCAGTCACCTATTCCCATCCCTTACCAAGGTGCTTGCACCTCAAATGCACAAAAATATTGCATAGACAATCATAGAATCAGCTTTTGATTTTAATGAAGCTCAAAGCCATTTATTTAAGATATCGCTTGATTTTATGTGCAAGCCATGAAGCCCCAAACCTTCAAGAAAGGAGCCATGTCTGTCTCTGACATGAACCAGGGAGAAACTTGACACTTCCGACACTTCTGAATAGCACTTTTAGGAACAAAGTATAATAAATTTGAATATTTGAGATTTTTTCTCTCCTTTCAAGACATTCTTTACACATATTTGGTGCGCAAGCATTTTTTCAAAAAACTCAAGTATTTTCTGGTATGAAATGATACAATTTGTGTCATTTAAAATGACACACTTTTCCCTATATACATATATATAAGTGTTGTCAACAGTTTTATTTTATTGTTTAGACTTTGCTATGTCACTGTTGCTGCAATTAGCAATATCAGTTCAATGACGATTTCATGGAAATCAAAGATCATTTTGATTCTTTATGATTAAGAGGAGCATCTAACAGAGCTAACATACAGCAATAAAAGAGATGTTTGTGTAGCAAACCTTAAGTAAGGTTCAGGAGCGTTACTATTATTGTCAACCTCAAAAGGTGTCTCTGGGATAGGGGGAATAAGTCCAATCCAAGAAAGCAATCTCCTTAAGAGCCTTTCACGGGGACCAACTGGCGACAAAATCCCTTCATACAGAGATACTGCCCTCTGAGCTGCCAGCCAAATAGGGAGTTCTGCATTTTGTACTTGGTTTACATCTATTTTCTCATCTGAAGCATGGTCATTATAAAGTAATGATTTCTGAAATACTGACAGTTCCTTTAGCCAAAGCCTCAATCTTTCTGTCCAATTTTGTACTTCTTGTTTCTGACCGGCATTTTCATAAAGCTGCAAAAGAGAACAAAACATGTTATACCTGATACTTAAGGTACTAAAACTTGAAAGATAATTTTGACAAGTTAGGCATAATCATGATATCATGCATTACCCCTAACTTGACAATACCAAACCAGAGATAATATTAAAGTAATCATAAGCCATGCTGTTATAGATAGATTGACTGTTGAGATTAAGTTGATTAAACACAATTTACAGACAAACCATATCAAAAACTTTATGTTTCGTGCTAGTACGAAAAAACAGAGAGAGAAAACTATTTATGGCTCTCATAAAAAAAAGGGGTGACAGTCAAGAAAGCATAAAGTGTTGCAATATGGAGAATGAAAGTTACACATGCAGAGTGCTATAATATCAATTATGTACAGAGAGTCTTAGAAAGTTGATACCCTAAATAATTGGGGAGAATTATGGTTCAAGAAATCCTGGTGAACATTTCTGAAATTTGGCTAATTTCGTTACCTAATTACAAATATGTTTCTGGATTCCAATTTCCAGAACCCTCTCCCTAATAACGTTTGCGTTGGGAATTTTGAACATCAAAATAGTCTGATGTTATATGTGAACACGCATTTTAGTGAAAAGGAAATCAGTTTCTGTAACAATAGCATCTCACATGCCCAAGTATTAGTAATTCCTTCCCACAGCATACTCTTCCACAATCTCACCTCTTCGGTCTAGCTATAGATTAACATTTTATCAAAGTAAAAGTCACTAGATGCTATAATTGAATACATCAAGTGTAAATGTATTATTTCCAGTGTCCCTAGTCTGCTTGACTGAACAAACGTGATCTCACATGTTACCTACATACAATCATGCAAGTCTTACATGTCAGCATATTCAAATAAGGCTCTAATCTAATTCAAATTCCTTAGTATCATATTCTACACATTAAAAGATCAAAGATTATGTGCCTAAATTAATTCCATTGAGTGGATAAATATAAAGACAATGTCAACAGGGGATCTTCCTGCTCTAACTTGATAATACATGTTAATTTTTCTTACTCTGGAAAACTATTATACCTTTTACATTATGATTCTGAATTCCCTTTGCATAATTTCTTGTTCGCTAGTCATTTGAAATTTTGAATATCTGGAGAAGATTACTGACAGTGGAAGCATTTAAGCCATGTTTGATGCATCTTATGAAATATCTAATTATCTATACAATTTATGACAATATATTTATGCAAGAAAATGTGTGTAAAGAATTTTGTCTTTCTCATGCCTGAAAAATGGCATTATTCTATATCTCTACACAGATATCAAAAAAGCTAAATGATGGAACAAGAACAAAATAATTACCTTGCTAATCCAGGTCCCAAGTTTTGCTAGTGGTTTTGATATAACAGAGAAGATTTTTCGTAGAAGCTTAGACTGTAAGTAATCCAGTTTTTCAACAATTAGTAGGCCTTTCTGCTTCTCAGTTGCATAACCCCGCCTACAATAGAAAAAGCAATACATTACTCCTAGATAAACAGAAGAAATATGCTAAATTATATATTTTGCATTATTTAAGTCCACTTCCACCTAAAGAGTTGTAAAATATTTTCATCTGGAAGGTTACCCAAACTAGAAGCTTAACTGAACAGTTAGAACAGATACCAGGTGAATATCCACTCAGAAATAACCACATAAAATAAAGACAGTACCATGAAGTTTCAGAAAAACATAGGAATTCCCATTATAGTAACAGGTAAAGATAGACGCATTGATAAACCATTGCTTAAATCAAATGCAAGGCAAGAGATCCTAAAGAAGAGAAAAAAGAAGGTAACTATGCAGCAATTAAAAAAACAAAAAGAATAAAGAACGTAATATATTATTTCACTATTCAGTAATCGATCACACAGAAGTTCACTCACATGTTTGAAGCGTCGATATTGAAACTATCATTCAAAAATTACTAGCATGGCATAGCAAGATCTACTTATCCCTTTGCAAATTTAAAATGATATATGTGCATATTAAGGATTCAAGATTAATTTCCAAAATTTGATTTAAAATTTAATATGAAAGAACAAACATGCAGAAATAATATATATGGAATTACCTAAATATTATGGCATTAGACTCATATTCTCTCTTCCAATCAACATATATTGGCAAGGTAAGAAGATAGTCTGTGTTCAATGCAGATGTTAACATCAGATCCCTAGCTGATAGTTCTTCGAATTGCGCGTCAGAAAGAAGCTGCATGAAAGCACGTTGGAAACGAGTAGCAATAGTAACACTGCCAACAAATATGGAATGATGAGTTAGTCAAAGCATCGTTTTGAACAAAATGGAAACAGAGCAACAAATAAAAAAATGAAAAGATGAAAAGAACAATACTCAAGTAGGCATCTCCTTTTTGTTTAAACATATGCATTCATATTATATATTACACTGTTATATGAAGAGCTCCCATCTTACCTATCCTGGCCTTTAGATTAGCCCCTCACATTAATTCATGGTCGAAAAAGAAAATGTTGAAACACATTTCTACTCTTTTTAAATTTATTGTTGTCCTTCTGATTTTGAATTTTCTGACTTGGTCTGCCTATGCAATTGATTCCTTCTTTCAGGGAAAGGCTCCAATAAAGGATCTAACAGGACGTAATTTGAAATCAGAAGGATCCAACATCAACATCAACTACACCTTTATCTCAAATTAATTGAGGGGTGGTAGATGAACCCAAATAAAAGATACGAAAAGGTTGAAAAAAGATAAAAAATAAAAATAAATAAATAAAATAGTAATAATATATATATATATATATATATATATATATATATATAAAAGTAATAAAAGAAGCTGAAAAGAAGAAGAGGGGGAAATAAAGAGGAAAAAGACTAAAAAGGGACTATATGGAACATAGGAATAACAACGGGTCTAACCCTCCACCATGCTTATAGCTCTTCTTCATTCCGTTCTAAGGCACACCGTCCGCCAATCTATATCACACTCTATTAAGTCTTGTTTTACTACCTTCTCCCAATAAGTTTCGGTCTATCTCTACCTTTCTTTGTGTTGAGCTCTTGGTAACAGACTTTTGTTCTTACGGGAGCATCAGGGGCCTTCTCATTATGTGCCCAAATAAGAAGGATCCAAATTCAAAAAAAAAAAAAAAATTGATTAGAGAGATGGAAAACGAGATTTTCAAGAAACATAAAGTAGTCATTCCCCTAACTTGGATTCTTTTCCAACTTGTGATTCACCTAATTTTAAATTGATTTCTACTTGATCCTTAAGAAGCATATTAATGATGATATATGTAATTTTGAAGTATATTGACTGGAACTACCATTACAGCATTTCTCTCTATTTTTATCTACAGAGCATCAATTGAATTAAAACAAATGCAGTGCAATGCTTGCTCCATAATAATTAGAAAGGAGCATAACGGTGTCTGTTTGGGACAAACCTGGAACCCCTATCATAATCTTTCTTGCCTGTCATGTCCAGAGAACGTAAAAGACTCCTCAGGTCCAAACCACGGTTGGAAAGCATAGGATTTTCCAGTTGAACCTGCACATCCTGATAGACCTTCCCGTCCTCAACTCCAAGGATGTCATTTCTAACCAAATCGGAGTCCATCCCATTCGCCACGACTTGTTTCTCGGAATCTGGTGGATTCTGAATGACGGAGCCCTCACCCTCAGTTTGGAGTGAATTGGTAAGGTGATAATCGGAACGCATCTCCTCTAAGATAGTTTTATGCTCAGCATGAAGTATAGAGTCCAAGCATCTGTTGTTGCCGTAAAATATGCATAAAAAGTGAAAAAAAAAAAAAAAGAGAAAGAGAAGATGACACCACATATTTCAGCAAGATGATTTAAGAAGAAGACAAGTGTTTGAAAAGAAAAGGAGAGGAGAGTAGTAATGTAAAGTAATGTAATGTAATGTAATGTGAAACTTACGAGGTGAGAAGGCGAAAGTGATGGGCATCATCTTGGTCTTGGTTGAACATGAGAGAGAGGATGGCATCGAGAAGTTGGGACTTGGAAACAGGGATGTGTTTCTGTCTGGGCACTTGTATTTTAGAAATTCCCACTTCTTCATCATCTTGCTCATCAATATCATCGTTGGGATTTGGACTTGGACTTTTGTAGTAGTTGTTCATCATGCTTTCCTGTTCATCTTGTGAGGCTGAGGATGAGGATGAGGATGGATCGACTACGGACATTTCCTGAACCCGTGAACAAGAAGCGGGAGGAAACCTGAGGAGGCCAGTGATAGCGATACTAATAGTAGCAGCATGCAATTGTGATTGTGAAGAGAGAAAGTGCAAGTGCTGAAACAAGGGTTTGGATTGCCAACTGTGTTGTGCCTGTGACATTGGAAGAGCGTTGCTCGCCAAAGCGTACCAACAATATGACATCTGAACTGAACAAGCAATGCCCTCTCACCCCAACAAAACTCTCTCTCTCTCTCTCTCTGTTTTTTCCCCCCTTTGTTGATAAATATTAGTATCCCGTTGTATGGTTGCCAAAAAAAATTTCCTTTTCCTTTTGGTCTTTTTTAGCACCACTAAACTCATAATATTTTTTTGGGATAAGTCTACGTGGACCCCACTGACTAAGGAAATTGAAAAAAGAGTAAATATTATTTTTGTTACTTAACAAAAAAATAGATTCTCACGTTAGTCTCTTATAAAAAAAATTAGTCTGTTAGTCCTTATGAAATTTAAAGTAGATCTATTTTAGTTTTTTTGATAGATTAACGTGGATCTTTTTTAAATTTATAAGTAACTACTATTTTAATTAAATGGATCCACTTTAAATTTGTTAGAAATCTTTACTATACTAATTTTTTTTTTTAAGAAATAAAATGAAGACGGTGCTTTTTTGTCAGGACCAAAAATATAATTACTTTTGAAAAAATATCAACCCTACCCAACTGTCTCAAAACATTTATCTGAGTGGAGTGAGTGGCGCCGCGGCTGCAGTTGTTGATAAATCATAGTTATCCTCTGTCTCCAGTCTCCTCGATGATGAATCTGTTGCAGCATCATCATCATGTTTATTTTAACTTTAAGAATCCTTGTATAATAAATCAAACTGATCGGGGAGTGTTGGTGTCAGTGTCATTGAGAAGGGAATCATCAGAAAGAGAAAGTGTGGCAGCACGAGACAGAGTAATAGAATTCGGAAAATACAAAGGGAAGATGCTAGGAAGCCTTCCGTCGAGGTACCTGAAGTGGGTATGCAAAAACTGTAGAGCAGGGAATTTTGAGGAGTGGGGTAACCTTGCAGACAAAGTCCTTAGAGACCCAATCTACAGAGACCGCATCGAGTGGGAGTTAGCTCTCAATGTGTTGAATGGCAATAATGTCAATGTCAACTTTTCTTCTTCTTCTTCTTCTTCTTCTGAGCTCGTGGATATAAGTGAGAGGTTTGGTTGGGATAACCTAGACAAGCTTGGTTGGGCTAAAGTTGATTTTGACCTTCTCGGCACTTCTAAAGGTGGTAGAATTCCAAGACGCCAACATCACCCACCACCTGCCTCACAATCACTCTCTCAACCTCAACCTCAACTGCGGAACACTAGCACTAGCACTAGCACTAGGAGGATGGAAAGAAGAGAAAGGCAGAAAATGAGATCGAAGACAGAAGCAGAAGCACATCAACAACACATGCTCGTGGATGATGACGACGAGGACGACAAGGGACAGACTCAGAATCAGAATGGCATTAATGCCAACCCATTCCCTGGACGTCAGGCCCTTCTGCGGAAGGCCATAAACCGCCGCACAAGAACATGATAGGTTTTTTTTTTTTTTTTTTTTTGAAATATTCCAATTGATTCATCACTTCGTGACTAATCCTATTCAAGACTAGAATTAATACTTTAAACTCCTCCTCAAAAATGATACTGAAAAAAGTGGAGAATTGAACACATGCTCTCACCCTGCCTGCTCAACTTCAATGCCCTAAGTGAGTTATGACCATTTGGTAGGTTTTTCTTTTCTAAATCTTGCTTCTCACTCTCACCCTCTCTCTGTTTTATATTATTCCAACTGGTCTTGCAACACCTCTACAACACATTCAATTCCTTATAATTCGCTTTGCAATTTTGTATGACATAATCAACCCTTTGAAGGGCCCACATTAGAATTTGAGTTTGGCCAACATTCCAGCCTTGGAAATTATTACAACTTGGTAGTGTGTTCGTTTTTTTTTTTTTGATAAAATGGTAGTGTGTTCTTTACTTATAAAAATTAGCGGGGGAAACAACTAGACTTTCCCAAAAATTGAAGGGCTTGTTGATGGATTTATATTGTTTGAACGATTCATATCAAATCCTTATAACTTGAGGGAGATGGGGAAAATGTTTGTTTTGAGACAACTTGGGTGTTATTTTAAATGAAACGAGGTGTATGGTACATTTTTTATAGGGAAAAGTTGAAAAATCTTAAGTGGTTTTACTTTTAATCACTTACACTTCAAGTTTTTTTTAATCACTTATCCCTTGATGATTTTTTTATTTCAAATATATTTCAAATATATTTTTAATATGGTTAAAAACTTAAATACTCTACCTAGGTTACCCTTTTTATATGAGAATAGACTCATAATAAAAAAGGGAAAAATAAGAATAAATATGGTTGAAACTTATAACACTTACAAAAAAAAAGACTAAAAATAAAAAACAAGATTTATAGAAGACAAAAATGATCGAATATATCTAAATCAAAAAGAAGAAAATAAATTAAGGATAAAAAAAAGAAAAAAAAAATTAAATATGTTGAAAACTTATTACAATGCTAGAAAAAATAAAAAAAATAATCTAAATACAAAAGAATAAAATAAACTACCAAAAAAAAAGAATGAAATAGACCGAAGACAACAAAAAATAAAAGAAAAAATAAGATAACAAATAAAACAAAAAATAAATAAAAAATAAATCTATAAGTTCCTAACATATTTATTTTTATTTTTTTGTCCTGATATTATTTTCTTCTTCTTCTTTTTGGGTAGTCTGCAAGAAAATAAACCTGCAGAGATCAACTCACAGCAAATCTACGAAGCCAAAAAATTTGAAGAAAAATCAGCCAAATACAACGGCCAAACACCAGAAGGGGGAGGGAAAAATACACATGTTGTTATATAAGGGATGGTCTAAAGGATATTTTGACAACCAATCAACAAAGACATTACTTTCACTATAGGAATGAACTAATCTCACTTCCTCGTCTTTCTGTAACCATGTTCAAATACGAGTCACCAGACGAGACTTTTGAACTGCTCCTCCATTATTGATGAGCACAATACGTCTCCAACCACCCAATTTTCTTCTTCTTTTTTTCTTTGGTAAACAATTTTCTTCTTTTTAATTTAGGTATGTTTGATATTTATTTCTTCTAACTTTCTTTTCACTTTTAGCCTTTTTTGTCATTGTTAAAAATATGAAAAAAGAAATAAGACAAAAAAGAAATAAATTATTTTTAAATTTTTCAACATATTTGGTGTTATTTTTTCTATTTTTCTGTTCAATGACTTTATGTGTAGAATATATATGAGTTCTAAGAAACCATAACCCTAAGCTGAATATGCTTTAGGTTTCTTGTGCTCTTCTTACACAATAGACTCTATTGGGCTTTAGTGAAAGAGCTAAACCCAACAATAAACATACCATAAAACATAATTACATAAATAATGGTAAATCAAAAATTAGATCCACATTCAAACACGCAATCCGGCTCTGATACCAATTATAGATGCAATTGGATCTGCGGAAGCGTTTAGATCGTTGCGGTTTGGGATGCAATCATAGATGATACTCCACGAATTGGTGTCCTCTATCACAACACGAACTCATGAACTATTATCTCCTTTGTCACATCATGAACATATCTTTCTAGCACAAACAAATATCTCTTCTATCTGACAAGCATTCCAAACGATTTCTCGAGAGAGAATAGAAAGTGTGTGAGCACTTTTTTATATCTAAGCTTACCTCTTTTGTTCAATCACCTTAGAGGCTGATGATATTTAAGTGGTAGTATTTATAGAAATCCTAGCCCCTAAGCTCTTTGGGTTCTAGGCTTCTTGGGTTCTTCTTATACTTTTAGCTCAATTAGCGGCGGACCCAGAAAATTATATGACAGGGGACAAAAATTTATATTACTATTATAAAAAGACAATGCCAATTTTGGTTGGATGATCACAGAAAGAATACAAAAATACCTGTTAAGAAGAACTTAATAAAATTACGTAGTTTTTTGCCAATTTTTTTGTTCGAATGTCAATTTTTTGCTTCCGGTGACAATGGTCCAATAAACTCTCTATTTCAATGAGGAACTAGCCTTAAGACCCTATATTTTGTTTGTAAAATCAATTTTTTATTGTTTACCTTCATGCCTTCTGGTGTTATAAATGCACTTTCTTTGATTTCTTCAGTAAATTAATTAATGTGTTATTTATCTTTAGCATTTGGTCCCAACTAATAATTGATAATTATTACTGACCTTTTTTTCTTTGCCAACAAAGTCAAAATACTCTTCTCCTGAGTTTTGATATGACAATTTGTAGAAATTTTTAATGATTATAAAAAGAAAATTAGATAATCAATCAATATAAAATCAAATTCTAGACAAATTTGATAGGTAGAGTGAATATGCATTACTAACTGAACTCTTCTTTGTATAAATCGGAAAAGCCAACTTTCCACATTGATTGGGGAGGGTAGCAAACCAAGAACAAAACTTGCCATATATGCTGGCAGGTTGAAACTGATAAATAATAATTATCTCTAATTGGATGCAATGAACGAGTGGAACACTTTTTTATGAATAGCATAGCTTGTCTTTCACTTTTTAAAAGCATTTTCAAAATTTTGTTTTTACAGACTATGTTGCATATTATATAATAAAATATATTTTCATATTTTAAAGGGGGCGGGGCCCACCCAGAGGCGGACCGATGTTGTTGCCTGTGTCTGCACATGCAGACACAAAAATTTGAGAATCTTTTTTAAGGGGTGAGTGATTCAGGTCAAGTAAAAAAAAAAACTAGTAAGATTGAAAAGAAAAAATTAAAAATAGGCCCAAGCCCAACCCAACCAACCCATATAATTAAAAGCTTAAAGCTTCTTTACCAAAAAAAAAAAAAAACTTAAAACTTAAATCCTACCTCATTGCTTTGTCTCTTCTTCTTTTTTTGAAACATAAACCTTATTAGCTCCAAACCTTAATGGATATCAATGATTCCTGAAATTCAATCTTCATCAATTGGAAGAGAATCGCATGAGATTTTTCACGTTTTTTTGTTAAGCAAAGGTGGTCAACTTTGGATCAAATAGACATCGATAGAGGTTGGTTTTTTATCAATTAACTACTACAATTAATACATTTAAATTTTCTTTAAAAAAGATCTTCGGGGGCAGTGTGCACATATAATTTTTTTTTTCCTAGGTCCGCCACTGGACCCACTCTAGCCCCGATATAAGTCCGCCCCTGGTGGACTTAAGTAAAAGAGTACAAACTCAACATTCACACTCATTTTAAGCGTGGCTGAGTGTAATAAATTTCTAAATTGATTTAAAATATTATGTTTTCGAAACTTATTATTTAAATAATAATATATTAATAACACGTTCTCGGGAAAAAAGAGGAAAAATAAGAAAAAACTAAGATAACAGAGAGAGAGAAGGTAGAAAGAAGAGTCCGGAGAAATTGGAGAGAGAGAATTTGTAATTTTTCTTCTATGCCTTCTCCTTCAAGATACCGCTACGGATACTACTTTGTCCTTCCATCATCAATAGAATTGTAACAGACACAACATCAAGGCAATAACAGAAACACAATAAGAAAATAAAGGAAATTAAGAAAACAAAGGAATTTTTAGGAGCTTTTCTTTTAGGGTTTTACAAGAGTTATGTTGTAAGAAAAATGATTGTATAATGTTATAGAGATTCGTTTTGCGTGCTTTAATTTTTTATTTTTATTTTTGCTTCAAAAAATGCGAAAAGTGCGACTCCCACAAAATATTGTGTGTGTAGAAAACTTTTTTGTGTCATGTGAAATGATAGATGCAAACCCCTTTCTTTTATGCGTTGTGTTTCTACAAGAGAAAAAACAGTATTTCAATTCCACTTAAGCAAACTGGTGTGAAAAATTAATACACATGTCGCAATTTGTATTGCAATAGTACGCTAACGCACAAGTAGGGGTGGCAATACGGGTCACGACACGTTTTTGACCCGTACACTATTTGACACGACACGTTTTGTAAACGGGTCGTAAAACACAAACCCTGACACGACCCGTTGCGGGTCACGGGTCGACACGACACGACACGACCCGCAAAATTTAAAATTAAAAAAAAAAGTGAGATTTTTTGAAAAATAAATAAATTAAAAACAATAAAAAAAGATTAGTTTTTGTTTTTTGAGATTTTTAGTTCCTTCTATTCTTTTCTATACTAAACAATGACTATATATATCAATATATAAATGAATAAAAATAATAATATAATAAAATATTTAATAAAAAATAAAAAAATGACACTGTGCGGGTTGACACGCGAACCCGCGGGTTGACACGTGACCCGACACGAAAAAAAACAGGTCACATATACACAACCATGACACGACCCACCCTGACCCGCGGGTTGACACGACACGTGATTTGGCGGGTCGGGTCACAGGTCAACCCGCGGGTCAATACCTGTATTGCCACCCCTACGCACCAGTATTGTTGAAATTCAAAACTTCAATGAATATGTACGTACTCATGTTTTATTCGTGGAAGAATTTTAATCATAGAAAAATAAATTAACAGTGATGATTTTATAACTACTTATTTTATTATTTATTTTTTGTCTTTCTTTATCACTATTAATCCACCTTTATATAATTATGATTTCTCCGCATCACATTAATCAACATGCGACAGAATTTACTCCCCACATACACATATGACAACACTAAGATGATATGGCAAATAAGAAAGTCAATTAGACGTGTAGGCATTCAGCTAGGCAATTGTTAATATAGCACACGACAGCGTAAGCTTTTGTATCAAAGTGTTTGGCTTGGCTTATTCATATAAGGAGAAGAGAACTGGAAAAAAAAATTAAGCAAAACAAATACTAACTATAAAAAAAAATACAGTAGCATTTGCGGAATTGTGGTTGATATAATAATTGCAGGAAATAAAAAAAAATATAAGAGCCAAAATTCAAGTGACCGGTAATTTTGAGGATAAATTATTGTTCGGAACAGAGGTGGAGGCAGGGGTGCTAGGGTGGGCGGCCGTTCACGCTCTTTAAATTTTTAGATTTTTTTTATTAGGGGTGAGTGGTCCTCCCCTCACTAAAGAACAAGAGAGAAAAAAGATCAAACGAAGACGTTGCGAGTAGTTGTCAAAAATCACCACTTTTCAAAGCTTCACCTGATTTCTGAAAGTGAAGGTACACACGCACCCCATTAAATACCTTCTCGTTGTAAAGGTTACTATGGGGGAACTTTCGTTGCAGAGGTAGTGTGGGGTAACATTTTAGAGTTGAGCTGATAGACTTAAGTGAATGTGTTATTATGCAGAATCACAGAAGACATCGAGCACTCTAATATCTCAATTGTGAGTTCTTAATTATTATTGTGTTTAGATGTTTACAATAAATTTTGTCCAGCTACACATAAGTGGTGCATTTATCTTGTGTGTCGCGGCATCGCATCTAACCGTGGAGAAGAATTTTGATGTTCCAGGAGCACCATTGACTTAATGGTCCGGACCAATCAAAATTGGGAGAGAGGAGAGAGCAAAATTATTTTTTTATCAAGTGTCAGCCCCTTAATGAAAGGAGCACATAGGCCCGAAGCACTAAAATTTCCCCCAAACCGTGACCTATCCGCGAGATGTGAAAAATAAATAGAAATCCATAAGAAAAAAATTTGAAGAAATTTTTTTTATGGTGGACGTCCAATGATATGCATTAGAGGCTACTAAAGTCCTAACCAATTTTTACTTAGGCATGTCTTATGTATATTTACTTCGATATATCTTCTTTTGTACACTGACTCAATGGCAAAATCACTAAATTTACTTCTATAATAAAGTCCTAACCAATTTACTTTGGTTTGTACATTTGATTTTTCGCCCCTCTAGAAAAATATTCAGGCTCCGCCATTGGTATTTAGATAAAGACAAAATCAACTGGTGACTTGTAAAGAGTGGCGGTGACATGAATATAGTACATATAGGCTAGACGTAGCTTACATTGGGTGAATCAGAGTAAACCTCTGTGTCAAATCTCTCTTCCCTTTCTCTTTATTATTTTCGATTTGTGTGTCGATTCGAACAATTAATTAATTCAATCTTATTTTTGTAAAAAATATATTAATGTCGTGATATAACAGGGGAAAAACATAATTTTCTTAATAAAAGATTAATAGATCCGCTCATGGACATGAAAAAAAAATGCAGAAATGAGTTACCCCTAGTAGAAACTAGCAAGGGAGTTGAATATAAGTTATGTTTGCTGCAAGTTTTATGCTTTGAAAATACAACTATTAATTTAGACATGTTGAGGTGGTTAATATAAAACTAATATGTCGAGTGTTGTTAATTTGGATAGTTGTGTTAGGGAGTGTTAATTAGAAGGAGTTTCTTACCTTTTTAGTCTTGTATTTAATTATTTTTGGTATATTATACAACAGCGTTTATATGAAAATAAAAGGGGCAATTTTTTTTTAATATAATGTTATATTAATAAAAAGGGAAAAGTATTTCTTTATTTATCGGAGATAAAGTTATCTCCAGTGAGCTCAAAACGACGTCGTTTTGGAGTTATAAAATTTAAAAATTATAAAGATAAAGACTAATATAACCCTGCAATATATTAGAATTACAAAAACACTTTGATTTTTGCCTCAAAACGACGTCGTTTTGAGCTCACCAGAGATAACTTATCTCCATTGTCCGGAGAAATCCTTTACCCTAATAAAAATTACAAAAATATAACTATTTTGAACCAATTTACGGATTTATTGTACTAAGTCGTGCTCTTAGTAGGCATAACAAGTCACGCATCACACAAGTGCAACCTATGCAAAGTTGCATCCCACACAGGCACGACTCGTCCGGTGACAACATACATCACAAAAAAGTCAACATTTTGATTGTAAAACTTCGAAAAACCATAACTTTCGACTCGAGTATTCGAATAAGGTATTTTTTATTTCTCATAATTTTTTAAGATCTACACAATGACATCTTATTGAAGAAGATCTGGTCAAATTTTTTTTGAATACCCGAGTAATAGTCCATCTAATGGAGCATTAGAATTCCTTTTGCTACCAACATGGTCAAAATCAAATTGCTCGATACTTTGAACATATTGCAAACTTTAATTTGAAGGCCTAACCATGATGCACCCATAATCGCTACATCATGGATTTCTCCTAAACATGTATCCTACGTAGGCAATATAGATCGAAGATTGATTATGTATAAGCCACCAAGAAATAAGCTAAAAAATAAATAAAATAGGAAGCAGAATTAGGTCCAGAGATCATATGTGCATGCAATATATGTTGGTTTTAGAAGTTATCAATATGAAAGAATTTTCTTTTACTATCTCACGGATAAGTGAAGAATTTAATTATGCTTTCCAAAATCAGAGCAACAAGTTTGTGATTTGCACATTTTAACATTTTTAGGTTATGGGGTACCGTTTATGATAATAATTGGCAAAAATCCGTTCACTCCAAGGGAAAAATTATGTGGAATTGATTAATGGCACTTGAAACGATTCAAATTTTAAAGCTTTTGTTATTTGTTGATTTCTGGTCAATGAAACAAAATTAGTTGCAGATCGGTTTAATTTTATACTCTAGAAAAAATGGACGATATTTTTTTTCCTTTTTTCTCTTGACATAGTATAATAAAGTATTATTATAATTAAATATACATTATTATATATATATATATATATATGGTTTTATAAGAGTTATGTTGTAGGAAAAATGGTTGTGTAATGTTTTAGAGATTCGTTTTGCGTGCTTTAGTTTTTTTTTTTTTTTTGCTTCAAAAAGTGCGAGCCCCATGAAATATTGTGTGTGTATGAAACTTTTTTGTGTCATGTTGCATGATAAATGCAAACCCCATATATATATAGTCTCAATATAAATAGTAATAGATTGTGTCATTAATCACATTTTTAAAATTTTTGACCAAATTCCCTTCAATGAAATGTCATTAATCTCTAAAAGTTACGTGGAATTAAAAATAAAAAATTAATTGATTTAGACACCGTTATTATCTTCCGAAATTTTACGATAAATTAGTGAATTTTTGGTTTTGGTGTCACGTATTGTCAGTGGACGCGACTTTGCATAGCTTTGCGCTTATGTGAGGCCTCACTTTTTGCGTTTGTGTGCGGCAACAACTGAGTATAATAAATCCGTAAATTGGTTCAAAGTAAATATATTTTTATAATTTTTTTATTAAAATAATAATATAAATTCACCGTTAAAGTATGAAGAGCGCGAAATAAAACGAAAAAAAATGGTTAACCTAATTTCCGCCATTTTCGTCTCGCAGGTTAAAAGAGACGTTACCATTCCCGATATCATTAGTATGATGATGTGAGAATTTATGTGCGAATTCAAAAGCTGAGGTTCAAACCCTACCAATGTCAATGGCGAACAAACTTGCTACTAGGCGGGAGCTACTGGACCGGTGGAGAGGCATCGAAGAAGAAGAAGAGAATGACGGCGACGGCGACGACTGCGATATTGTTGATCTCTCGAAACGTCGTAGCCTCCACCTCCACAAAGAACAATGGTTCTCGCCAATTTTCCTTTTTGTCTTTAGCACCAGCAGCAATCAAATTTCCTATCAACTAACCGCTATTTGTTTTAATAATCACAGAGTTCCAATGTAGAATTAGGTTTCTCTTCAATTATAATTTTTTTTTGAAAGGGAACTTTTTTTAGTAGTTGCGGAAATATAAGTAAATTCAGAGTGATGGTCTTGTTTATAAATAAAAAATAAAAAATTTAGAGTGATGATACTTACATCAGATGTTTACTCTATTTTCTGCATATACATTATACATTTTCCCCCTCCCCCCAGAATAAGCACTGGATAAAATATAGTGAAATTTAAAATAAATAAATAAGTGATTATGAGACATAATCATTATTCATGCTTAGTGATTATTGGGATTGTGTTATTCTTTTCTTCTGCATGAAAAGAATTAAGCTATGTTCTTATTGAGGCACTGTTGCCTTGTTGATTTCATATCTTATGAGCCTTGGAATTGTTTCCGTAACACCTTTAATTATTGTCAGGTTTGCAGATGCATATAATTTTCTAATATGTTTGCCTAGTGAGAGTCATATTTGGTGTGGTTCATGGGATATAATGGGGCCCCTTCTGGAGACTTTTTACAATTACTTCAAAGATGACAGCCAAGATTCACCTCTTAGGCGTTTATGGAAGAGAATCTCTGATGAAATGCGGCGCTGCCTGCAATGCATTTCTCAGCATCATCAAGCCCAAGACATGTATAATACGGAGTATGAGTCTAGCTCTATTGGTCCTCTTCTTGATGTCTTGCAAAAGCTTGATTATGAGAGGGTGACATTACACCTGCGGGATATCAATGCAAAAGTGGCAGGGGAAGAATATGATCCTGCTCGTGATAATGCTGAAGTTGTTAATGTCTTATATGAGGTACGTTTACTGTTGCTTTCCTCTGTCCCTAATTCTAAGTCAGTATAGTTGATATAATAATTTACATTCTATCTATTTGAATTGTGTCTTTATAAGTAGAGATTTTTGTTGCTTTTGAATAAGTATTGGAAATTTGTTGATTGTATTGTTACATCAAAATTTATTTTCTGTTTTCCTCAATATATGATTACATATCTTTTTTCGCATTGGAATTTTTGATACTGGATGGATTGAAAAGTTCATGGAGAAGTGCAAATTAAATATGATTAGACTGGGAACTGATGGATTTAATTTTATGCTAAAATAGTTATTCTCTTCATGTTGTTATAAATGCACTAATTTGTATCTTAATTCCATTTTATTTTGTTTGTGTATAAATTTTCTAATTTGAAGCTCAGAGTTTATCAATTTATTTTCCTCCCCCCTTCATTTGACACAGGTATTGATGTTCCCAATCCTCTTAGATTATCAGCCTCTATTCAGTGAGTTTGAGTTGTTTATTGAAGCTATTGATAATAAGCATGAACTGGCTTTGTCCGGGAATCAACAATTTCCGGTAATTTTTGTTTCTTTTACTTGCTGCATATTTCTGCTAGCAGATTCACTATTTTAGATTGGTTACACAGTGAGCCAATTTTTTTTTTCCAGGGAGTGTATGCATTACTTTTTTGCAAGAGAAGTGTTCGTTCTGTTGGATATCGGTTAGCAGGATCAATGGGAAAGCTGAGGTACTTATTGTTCATTGGCATGAAAAGACTTCAGCTTCACTAATTGTGATTTCATATTTAAGTTGATGATGCCCCATGGAAGTTGGGTTTTCTGAAAGGAAATTGTGTGTATAAATCCCAGAAAAAATATTTAATAAAATCTTATCTAAAAACGAGCATCCTCTTTTATGAAAAAATAAAGATATGGAAGACATGAAGCCAGAGTTTATTTCAGATGTGTGGTAGGGTAGGGTATGGTTTGATATATTACCAATTACCATTCATGGAATCGTTAAAATAACCTCATTCTTATCTTTTCCTCAGCACTGTATTAAGATATAGTTTTCTGCTGCGAGACATTTAGAAACCTTTTTATCTTTTTGGTAATGATCAATGTGTTTGTCTCTGTGTAGAAGAGCAACAGACCTGGAACCTTTGCAGCCATTGCTTAAGAAATTTATTGGCTGTTTAGAGGCAGATACTTTGCCATTGGCTTTGGAGACTTCAACACCAAGAACTCATCTGGATCGTGTGTCTTTATGGATTGGTATCAAATCACTGTAAGAAGTGTGTTTTAATTGTACCAATCTTTAATCCAGTCTTCTCTTTACCAGTGTTTTCATTATACATTTTTTTGTATGTTTTGTAAAGGCTTGGCTTCTTGGATCCTCCAACTTTTGAAGAAGGGATATTGGAACGCTATCCCTTTTTTCTGGATATTGTACTCAATCATATTAGTGGTGATTCACTTGAATTTTCACATGCGGTTACTTGCTTGAGACTACTCTTCGAAATGCTTGGTGTGTATTTTCTGTTTCCAATTCCAAGGGTCTTATTTTTAACTTATATTCGTTTGGCTGACATTTTCTTTTGTTCTTCTGGCTTGTTTTAAGGTTGTAAGCTTTGGTTAAGGTCTACATTGTCTCCAAGTGTAATGCGCAACACTCTACTTGGTCAATGCTTCCATATTCACAATGAGAAAACCCATAAAGATATTTTTGGTCTTTTCCAACCTTTTCTACAGGCATGTATGCATCATGATCTGCTGTTTGTTTCTTTGTTTTTGTGTGCGTGTGTATATTATATTATATATATTGGGAGTTGTGTTAACATTATTTAGATGTTTGATACTTTGATCCCATGTTCCAGTCTCTTGAAGCATTGCAAGATGGGGAGCATGAAAAGCAACGTAGGCATTTTCTATACTTTCTCCTTCATCAAGTGCCAGTGAGCAGTAACTTCAGCATTCTAACAAGAAAATTGGCATGTCAGGTAACATTTAGATTTTTGCATGATGGCTGTATATAATGTGTGGCCTGGTTGGTTTTAGTAATTGACACTGCAAGTTGTTTTGGCTTAATTATATTTAATATATATTTCAAGATTGTCTTTTCAGATAGCAGTTCTTGTTGTACACCGAGGTTACAAGATGAACCCACCTTGCCCTCCTTTTGAGTGTGCGCATATGTGGTATGTAGTCAGTCCCCCCCTTCTGGTTTTGAAATTAAAATTAGTAACTGAGTAGTCGTTGTTTGCTGAAAAAAGAAGTCAGTTTACCCCGCTTCAATATAATAATGCAAACAACTAAGAATGCAGTCATGCACTGGATTGTAACTCTGTTATTTACCATGACACATGGAAATCCCTTTAATAATATTTATTACTGAAAGTATAAGTTGTATCTTTTTTACAGATAAGGATCCTTTTGTAGGCATATTAAAACTTTATGAGCAAATGGACACTTTCCTATAACTTCTTTATCTGTATAGTGGACATCCTGATAGGACTATATCCTATTCCCTATTTAGAGCATCCCTTGAAGCTTGTTCATGTTACTGCATTCTACTTATTGCTGGGAAAACCAGGAAAAAACCTAAAAGTGATTTTGATGAGGTGAAGCACAATAATGAGCCTTCTTTAATGCTGCATTTCCGTTGCCACAATAGTAAGGTAGGGGCTAGGTACCATATTTGTAAAATGTATGGATGTGAATGTACATACCGAACTGTCTGAGAACTCAATACAAAACTGCTGCGAGTATATAATATGAATGAGCTTAACCACAAAGCGATGCATTTATGATATACTTGGGCTAATCCTTTATTCATTAGTGTAGTTAACTAATCATTTCTCAACATTTGTGTTGGACAGGGGACCTGCCCTTGTGTCATCTCTGAAGGACTCGTCGCTTCACAATTCATTAAGGCAACCTGCGTTTGACCTTGTACAGACTATAATAGTATCAGATGCTACTGCTTTAATATATTCAGTGCTGAATTGCTGCACAAATCCAAGCACAGATAGTGACATGGCATATGAGGTCATTGAGTTGGATGATGAAAATGATATTTGGCTGCCAACTAGTCCAGATGGTGAAGAGAAGAGTAGTAGTAGTTCTTGGAGTCAATTCAGAGTGCAGAGTAGAATGACTGCTCAAGATTGCCAAGGGTGGATGTGCATTCCAATGTTGTGGCTTGATGTTTTAGTTGATATCTATCCTGCTGTCCTTCCAATTTCATTTTCCAAAGCTGTTTTCTGGGCACGATCTCGTTTTCCTATGGTAGAACTTGAGGATAGTGCAGAAGTGGTGCTTCCTGTCAGATCTTGCCTTTCATCTTATGCTGCAGAAATTTCCTCTTCATTTGGGTGGAAGGTTCCAACTGGTTCTGATGATGGTGGAGATGGAAACAAATCAAAAAACTCAGTTGAAGTGTTGACTATGTCTTTTCCTTTAATAAGAACATTTATCAGGTTTCTAACACCAGCTTGACTTTATGTTATGTTAAATCAAAGCTTGAGCATCTTGTGGTTTTAAGTTAAAAGTAGGTTTTTAATTTCTTTACTAATTAATCTGGAGTTGTACCTCAGGTTAACTGCACATTTTTTAGTTCAGATGGGACAAGGAGAACTTCGAAGTCAGTGGACTTGGGAACCACTGATGAGTGAAAGCTTGATCCTTTCACTTTTGGATCCAAATGATGTAATATGCCAAAATTGTCTAGAACTTGTAGATCATGTCTATTACCCTATTATTGAAATGTGATGAATTTTTCTCTCATACTATTTCGTATTTGTGGAATACAGCCGACTACAATATGCATAATTTGTTTTTCCCATGCAGGATATTAGACAATTTGGAAAGTCTATGTTGGAACAAGTTTCAGATACCCGGGGTCTTTCATGTGGATTGAAGTTTCTTTGTTCTCACATGCCCTCACTGTATGCAACTATTTTGGGCCTCAAACATGCAATGAAACTGGTAATGTTTTCGGAAAATGTTTTCTTGATAATAATGTGGTTGGTGCCCACCCTTTGTCTGTGTAGAAAGGAAATTTCATTAGAGAAGAGAGAAGTGCACCTTAGGAGAAGTATAAGGATCCTCTGAAACAGGAGCGGAATGACTCAATAAAGCAACAGTCCATTCTTTTTGCATCCTAGAAATGTAAACTCCCTTAATACAGCCATGAGTGGATCCCCTAGTGAGAAGCCATAACACACTCTTGTAGCATTTGTTGGGGGAAAATATATGCCCCTGACGTGGTGGGCAATCTCCTCTAGTCAAATACACCAGAAAATTGCAAAAGTCAACTTACTGCAACAGAATTATGGCCTCCCTATTCTTCGAAAATCTTAAAAATGTAGCTCTGAAGCTACAAGTTCTTTCTGTGTCCAATTATATTCAGTGAATTTGATCTTTAGATTTTGTGGACATGCTTCTTCATGCCATTGAAATAAGGTGTTGGTGTAAATTGACTTTTGTCTAATGGTCCTGACTCCCTTTATTTTTGCAATTTTTACTAATACCATTGTGTTTTCATGCTAGGTCCAACTGGATTCTGTTTTGTTGAAGTTTCATACTCTACATCATTTTTGGTTTCTTTTATGCAAATTACTCAAAGACTGGGGTCTACCTGCTCCAGAGTTGCCTGAAAGCATGCATAGTGACTCAAAGGTGCCAAAATTCTCTTCACAAGGCGGGTTTTTGAAGCAGCCGGCTTTTGATTCTTTGCCTGTGGATATTGATAAACATGTTTCCGATGTTGAACTGAAAACAAAGGAAAAGTTTGGTTACTTACTAGCTGGAATGGCATGGCCTATTTTCTGTAGGTTCCTGGTGAAAGGAAAGGAATTTATTGATTACAATCTTAGCCAGGTATTATCTTGCCTCTTTTTCTTCTTGGTGAATTATCCCCCCCCACACACACACAAGTTATTTACACTGTTTAGTGTTTTTTAGTAATTATTTAAATGAACATGTAGGTTGTATCATGGTGCTTTGTAATGCTTTTATTATTTGATGGAATGCAATTATGAAATTTTTGTTCCTTTTTTGTCATCAAACCTGTCATTTAAACAGCTTGTAACGAACTCTATATATCTACTGTCCAAAACTTATCAAGGAACATTGCTTGTTGTCAATGATTTGAGACTTCAATTTTTGCTGCCGATTTCAGAATTGAGGTTAAAATCTATTAAGTAATTGATATATCACTGCATGATTAATCACGTTTATTTGGGTTTTATTTTGCTTTTCCTTGTCCTCCTCACTTCACTGTTTATTATTCTTTCTCTTCATCTCAATGAATTTCTTGTTTTATAAAAAAACATAGCTTCTTCTTTACTTTGATAGTTCTCAGATCAACATCTTGGTTTTAGAGACAGCAAGTTCTTCACCTTCGTAGCTCCTTGTTGTTTCAGATGACTTGTGTTCGTTTACTCGAGATTCTCCCCGTTCTTTTTGATAAACTCCACCTAATAGGAGGTAAAGATCTTGGGAATTTCACAATGCTGGTACAAAATAAATTTGATTTCAAATGGCTTCATGATCTCATGGAATGGGGGAAGTCATCACTTAAAGTTGTAATTGTTTACTGGAAGCGAGCAGTTACGTATTTACTAAATCTTTTCAAAGGTTCTTGTAATAAAAATTCTGTGTCAACAATCATGAACATTGAAAATCTTATTTCAACCGGTGAGTTTTATTTTGTACTTAATTAGGATCTTGTTTGAATTTGTTTTCTCGCATGATTCTGTGAGTTTTATGTCATTAATTTGTTTTGTTTTTGCTTTGCGATGTCAATTTAGATGGTTATACTTTGGAAGAATTGACAGAACAAGTTTCTCGCCTGTCTGTTTCTCTATCTGGGGAAGGTTCTCATAATTTTCAGGAGGCAAATGTGAACCCCAAATCATTGGTATCTAAAAACTTGCCTTTTGAGAAGACCTGTTATACTTCAGATTTTCATTCTTCATCCATAGAGGATACAGGGGTGCAAATGTTGGACTCTAAAATGATGACCGGCAAAAAAGAGACTGAAAGTGTAATTATTCTTTCAGATGATGAAGTGGAACCAAAAGTTCTTTCCAAGAAGGTCATTTTATCAGTTAGTGAGACAGATCACCACATGTCTGATGACAATATAATGTCATGTGATGCTGGTAATAGTTTACCAGCTACTGACCTTGCTAAACAGAATGTTTCTTACATGAAAACTTCAAAGCAAATGCAGGAGACCGTTCAGAAAAAGGCTTTTACTGAAGTTTTCAAACTTTCTTCTCAGAAATACGACTCTGGTAATTTACATGATAAACCTGTGGTCACTTCGATTATTAATTCAAAAGGCCCAGGCGGTCATAGGAGAGAAGTAAGCTCAAAATCTAAGGATAGGGTCAATTTGACAAAATTTTCGGATGAAGCTGTCAGTGATAAAAATTTGAACTTAACTTGCAGCAGCACAGTTCCCGAAACTGGTGACCCTATGCCAAGTACTAGTAATAAAATGTCAAGTGATTTTCGGGATGCTGAAGATGTTCCGCTACAGAAGGCATTGAAATCTGCGGGGCGTATGAAGTTGCACGTACCAAAGCCTCCTTCAGTTTTTAGAAGACAAGTTATTCAACTCAAAACGCCTCATGAAAACAGATCCGGTTGTCTCCATAAATTAGAGGACCCAGTGAAAAGATTCAAGCCACCAAGGTTGGATGATTGGTATAAATCTATTCTTGAAATAAATTATTTTGCGACAGTTGGATTGTCATCCTCAAGAAAAGATGAAAACCGAATTGTTAACAAATTAAAGGAAGTTCCTTTATATTTTCAATCACCTGAACAGTATGTGGAGATATTTCGGCCATTGGTTTTGGAGGAATTTAAAGCACAGATGCAAAATTCTTTTCTTGAGATGTCTTCATGGGAGGAGATGTTTTATGGAAACCTTTCTGTGATGTCAGTGGAGAGAATTGATGATTTCCATCTTGTTCGTTTTGTCCATGATGATGGTGATTCTGCAACATGTAGGAGCTTTTCAGAAAATGACCTTGTTTTGCTAACAAAAGATCCCCCACAAAAATCTTCTCACGATGTTCATATGGTTGGAAAGGTATACCGTTATCCATGTGTCATTGCTATCATCTAAAGAGTTATATCAAAGTCTATGAAGTACGACGGTTAATTGATTTAGGCCATGCATGGTTGAGTGGGTGGAAAATATAAGGGAAGAGAAAATGAGAGACATGATGAATTTTTGTGTTGAACAACACAATAGAGACTGAACTATATAAACAATAAGTAATACATATAAAATCATTGATACCCTAATTAATGCAAATACATGATTTGGTTAGCTTATACAATGAATCTATACACTAATTACATAATTTCCAACACCTCTCTTAAGTTGGAGCATATAGGATGTATACGCCAAGCTTGTTACTTATATAACTTTATCATAAGACCTCTGAAAACTTAGTGAAAACATCTGCTAGCTGGTCATTTGAATTAATGAAATGAGTGGCGATGTCTTCATCTAAGATCTTTTCTCTAATGAAACGACAGTCTATGTCAATGTGTTTAGTCCTCTCACGAAACACTAGATTAAAGGCAATATGCAGTGTAACTTGATTATCACAAATGAATGTCATCTACATAGGCTTCCCAAATTTTAGCTCTTGAAGAAATTGTTTGGGCCAAATGTGTTCACAACTAAATGCATGGTTTAATGTTTTGCTTCAGCACTTGACCTTGCAATTATGTTATGTTTTTTACTTTCCTAAGATATCAGATTATCCTCAATGAATATACAATACTCAGAAGTGGATCTCCTATTATTAGGGGACCCTACCAATGAATATTTGAGTATCCAACAATTCGAGTGTGACCTTTATTTTTTATAGATAAGTTATTTTCCTAGAGCCTCTTTAATTAACACTAGAATACAAATTACTACATCCTATTGTTCTTCCCAAAAAAACTTTAGGAATTGACTTATCACACTTACTTCAAAAGAGATGCTTGGATGAGTAAGTGTGAAGTTGTTTAGTTTCTTAACTAATTTTTTGTATCTTCCGGGGTTCGAAAGTGGCTCCCCCTAATATGGTAGAAGCTTAGCATTTGGATTCATATGATTGTGAACAAGCTTTGCATTTAATAGAATAGTTTAGCCAAGGATGTCTATGGCTCCCCAATGTGGCAAAAGCTAATCCAATGTGGTTTTTCTCCTCATTCCAACCTAAGAAAGGGGAACCAAACAAATCTCTGTCATGCTAAAGCTGTCAATATGTGTTTGCAGGTTGAAAGGCGTGAGAAAGACAATAAAAGAAGTTTAAGTATTGTTCTCATCAGGTTTTATTTTCAAAATGGTTCTTCACGTTTAAATCAAGTTAGAAGGAATCTCACTGAGCGAAGTAAATGGCATGCATGCCGCATAATGAGCATTACCCCACAAATTCGAGAATTTCATGCATTGTCATCACTAAAAGGCATCCCTTTACTTCCACACATTTTAAACCCTGTCAACGATTCCTTTTGTCTTAATGAATGTAAAGAAGGAGATCTCAATAAGTTGTGCCAGTCATTGCAGCAAACTCTGAGGTCATCATTTAATGTTAGTCAACTTCAAGCAATAAGTGTTGCTATTGGAACGGCTAAACCAAAGAAAACTGTTGAATTATCTCTTATTCAGGGTCCTCCAGGTACTTGATCCACCCCGAGCTCTCTCTTGACTTTAAATATTTTATAATTTTTGTACTTATGATTTTTAACTCATAAGTTTACATGTATGCTTATGTAAATGTAGGAACTGGGAAGACGCGAACTATTGTTGCAATTGTCAGCGCCATTCTAGCTTCTCCTCCACAGAAGATGAATTGGCTAAAAAATCCTTTAGATGAAAACTTCAACCAAAATTCATTTTCTACCTATTCAAGACCAAAGATTAGCCAGAGTGCTGCCATTACGAGGGCATGGCAGGATGCAGCCTTGGCTAGACAATTGAGTGATGATGTCCAAAGTTCTTCAAAATCTTTTGGAAATTGCGTGAGACAAAGAGTGCTTATCTGTGCTCAATCTAATGCTGCAGTGGATGAGTTGGTGTCAAGAATTTCTAGCCATGGTCTTTATGGAAGTAACGGGAAAATGTACAAGCCTTATATTGTGAGGGTTGGAAATGCAAAAACAGTCCATCCAAATTCACTGCCATTCTTTATTGATACACTTGTTGATCAACGTGTGGCAGAAGAGAGGATGCATTCAAATGATGGGAAGAATGATATGAGGGTAGATTCTTCATCAGTGCTGCGGTCTAATTTGGAAAAATTAGTTGATTCTATTAGGTTCTATGAAGCCAAGCGTGCTAACTTAAGGGATGGGAATTCTAATGCTAAAAGTCATCAGCCTAATGACTCTCGTATGGGAGATGAGAAAGTAATATCTGATGCAGAAATTGAAACGAAGCTGCGCAAGCTGTATGAACAAAAAAGGCACATATATAAAGATCTTAGTAATGTTCAGGCTCAGGAGAAAAAAGCCAATGAAGAAACCAAGACTCTTAGGAATAAGCTGCGGAAGTCTATACTAAGGGATGCCGAAATAGTGGTAACTACATTAAGTGGCTGTGGTGGGGATCTTTATGGAGTTTGCTCTGAGACAATGTTAAGCTCTAAGTTTGGGGGTCCATCTGAGCATACTCTCTTTGATGCTGTTGTAATTGATGAAGCTGCCCAAGTATATAAATCTTTTTTCTGCTATAAATAATTTATCTGCTATCCTATAGTTTTCTTTCTTGCCTTCTGACCTATTTTTGCTGCTACAGGCTCTTGAGCCTGCTACTCTGATTCCTCTTCAGCTTTTAAAGTCAAGTGGAACCAAATGCATTATGGTAAGAGTACTAACTTCAAAACTTTTCAAACTTCTGGTATAGGGCTTAAACTGAGCTTTCTAATTTATTCAAGGTTGGCGATCCAAAGCAGCTTCCTGCAACTGTCCTCTCAAATGTTGCAAGTAAATTTCTTTTTGAGTGCAGCATGTTTGAACGTTTACAAAAGGCTGGGCATCCTGTTATTATGCTTACTGAGCAGGTACATGGTTTGCCACCGGATATGATCTTAAAATGTGCTTTGGAAACTACTAGTTTGAACCCTCATTGCATGCTGTATATTTAAGTGGATCTAAGAGCATCCATCATATTCTAAATGGCCTATATGAATATTTGGTTTTTGACAGAAGATAATGGTGTTGTTTGATCCAGGTAGCTGACCCCATCCAGTAAGAAAAGGCTTTGTAGTTATTGTTGTTGTATGATTGGATCAAACGATATAGAAAATGCTAAGTGAGATGCAACTTTATCTCGAGATACTCGAGATAAAAAGGATCCTATTTTGGGATAAGTTTATTGAATGATAGAATAAAAAACATCCATAGGATATTGTTCTGATGTCTTACTATATTAGTAACTACTCATTTATTTTTGCACTGCTTGGCCACTATCTCCATGTGGAATATGCGTTTTCATGAGTTTGGTGAATCTTTGGAGTGTCTTGAATTTGAATTTGGGAGATGTTTCTTTTGATTAGTTTCAGAACCTTCAAAGAAACTTTTGTGGCAGAGTACTATTATACTTGCATTTGGGATATTTAGCTGAAGGAGAACGCTTGAATTTTTAAGGGGGAAGTTTCAATAAATAAATTCTATATAGTAAATGCCTTCCATGGCCTGCACCTGAGTCATGGAGGTTGTCGTATGAATTCCTATGAATCAAAACTCAATGTACTTTGTACTGAATTCAATCATACATTTGGAGAGATGGTAAGGATTGAACTATAGATCACTTAGTCAACCATGTTTTGATATTATGTAATAACCTTTTTTCCTAAAACTCTACAGGTTATATTTTGCATCTCATGATTGTTGAAGTTGTTAGCAGTGTATAGGGGTAGACCCGTTTTTTCCTATGTTCTAGATAACCCTTTTTAGTCCTTGTTTCTTATATTTATTTATTCATTTATTTTTCTTCCTCTCTAATATACTTTTTTTCCTCTTATTTATTTTTTTCTCTCTTATTTTTTTTATTTTCCATTTTTTTTCTTATTTTCATTTTCTTTTTCTTCTTTTTTCTATAATCTTTTCTTGCTTTTTGTTTGGGCTAGTTTGGAATAAATATTTTGTTGATGTTGGTGTTGTTTAGTAGGCATGCAGTGTTGTATTTTACATTGCCCTGCTTTATGATTGAAAGCTGAATCCCTTCCTTTATGATTTTCCTCACAATGGCAGTATAGAATGCATCCAGAGATATGCAAGTTTCCTTCGTTGCATTTCTATGACAACAAGTTACTAAATGGAAGCCTTATGTCTAGCAAATCAGCACCATTTCATCAGACCAAGAGCCTTGGGCCTTATGTATTCTATGATATCATTGATGGTCGGGAAGTTCGTGGGAAAAACTCTGGTGCAATGTCGCTTTGTAATGAGCATGAAGCTGATGCTGCAGTTGAAATACTAAGGTTTTTCAAGAAAAGGTATCAATATACTGTCCATTTCTCTCTTACATTTCTGATTCTAAACTTTCTGTTTGTTTTGATGCTTGCTTACAAAACTCTATACAATGCCTCCTAAGGTACCCAACTGAATTTATTGGTGGAAGAATTGGCATTATTACTCCATACAAGTGTCAACTTTCACTTCTGCGATCTCGTTTTCTTAATGCATTTGGATCTTCGAGTATAGCCAACATCGAATTTAACACTGTGGATGGTTTCCAAGGTCGAGAGCTGGATATTTTGTTACTTTCTACTGTAAGAGCAGCTCTTTCAGGCACTGCTGCATCTGAAGTCAACTCAAGCTCTATAGGATTTGTTGCTGATGTAAGACGGATGAATGTTGCCTTAACAAGGGCCAAGTTGTCACTTTGGATTTTGGGTAATGCAAGAACTTTACAGACAAACCATAACTGGGCTGCTCTTGTGAAGGATGCTAAAGAAAGAAATTCGATCATGACAGCCAAGATGCCGTATCATTCAATGTTTAAAACAGCTAATAATAAGTGCTTTCTTGAAAATTATGATAATCATGTAAGACCACCGAAGCATGAGAAAAAGGTTAAGGATAGTGGCCAGAATGTTACAAAATTTTTGGTTAATGACAAGGATACCTTTGAGAGGAAAAAGAAATATGTTGCTTCTGAAGTAAAGGACAGGAATAAGGGTAATGGGGATGAGAATACTTTTTCAGTTCTGGGAAAAGGTGCTCTATGTAAGGAAAGGAATTCTGAAGATGACTGTATTTCCATCAAGAAGGATAAGGCATGTCTAGTTGCAAAATGTGAAAGCAGAAGCTCCAGTGATGGTACGTTTACAATGTTAGATCAACAGGTTTGCAATGGTGAAAGAGAAGGCAAAGATCAAATGAAGATTAGCATGGGAAAGGCAAAATTGGGTAAGAGGCAATCAAAATTTCAAAATTCCAGGAATAGTTTAGACCATCCAATGGAGGAGACAGGTGGTGGGCTTAAGGCATCAAAACCTTCAGAATCGGAAAGACTGACTACGTCAGTGGAAGGCTGTCACAAAAAGAGAGATGCAGATGATCAAGTTAGAGCTCTGAATCAAAGTAAAGTTGCTGAAATTTCAAAAAGGAAACAGCGGCGTGAAGCTGTTGATGCTATTCTTTACTCATCTTTGATATCCACTACGAAGAAGGATGACACATCGACCAAAATTTCTGCAAAAAGGCCTTTTTCCTCATCTGTTGGAAATGGGAGTATGAAACCACCTAAGACAAAGAAATGGTAAACTTCCTCAACTGTTCTTCTAATTTTGTATGAGTATTTTTCTTTTGTTGATGTGATGATGGAAAGAAACGATATTGTCTGGAGCCTTGACAACAAATGTAAAGTCTTTCTAGATTTTCTTTTCTAGCTTTACTCAATTCTCTCCCTCTATCTCTCTCTCTTTTTATTAAAAAAAAGGGTGATATTGTTCCTTCTTTTCATGCTAATATTTATGTTATTGTTTAATTGTGTTAGAGATATATAAAACCATTAATGTAGTCTCACCTAACAGCTTAAACTTTTGGGTTAAATTGATATTTTACATGGTATTTAGAGCCTAACGAGAGGAACTTAATCCGCTTATTTTCTCTGGTGAACCCTCTGTTCATCATCTTTTCAATTTGTTTCTGGATACGGTCTCTTTGTCAATTTCCGGACGTCTCTTTTGTTCTTGGGTCGTCTATGCATTGTTGCCGGCCCTTTCTCCCTGCGAACCGCTGTCCGAAATTGGTTCTTTACAAATTGGATTGAAGAATGATTTGATTTAAGTTCCTTTTGTATTTTCTTCCCCTGTATTCTTCTCTTACCTATACATGCATATAAAGGGGCTACATTTTAGATAATGCCACTCCCAAGATGATATAAAGGATCAGAAGGCTCTCCAACTTCGTAGTGTCCTGATATTGGAATATATATATATATTTATATTTATTTAAAAAAAAGCATATAGTTGGCCTGGTTGTGGTTAGGGACGAGAGGGTTGACTGTATAAACATATTGTCTGTCTCAGATGTTGGTTTGTCGATTCTATTTCCTATGATTATACAACATGGCTATCTTTGGTATGTTTTCTCTAATTGAGGCATGCATGATATTTATTTATTTATTACTTTATTTTGTCATTTCAAACCCTAAAGAAAAAAAGCTATAGCTGCTATTAAATAGTAATGTTACTCAGCGAGAAAAAATTGATAGAATCCAACCAAAATTTGTTAAGATTCAAGGGTGGTTATTGGATAAGTCAAAGTGGTGGAAGCTACTTATCCATCCAAGAGTCAATAATAGTAACAATACATTCTGGTAAAATTTGTAACAGTATTTATTTATTTATTTTTGCTATCTATTATTTCCTGCTATAAAATGCAGGTTTCAGATTGCAAATAAAAGCTGGTTATTTGTTATTTGCATTTTCCCTGAATTTGAGATTCTTTTTCAGTTGAGACCAGATCAACGAGCACAGGATAAAGGAAGAAACAGTTTTGTACCGAGGACTAAAGCTGAAGCTTTTCATTGATCCTGTAGTGATCCCCTTTTTTACTAGCCTTACTTGGATGAAGATTTTTTGCTGCTCGAATCTGATGCTTTTCCATCGCTGATCTAATGGTGAGTGGATTTTCATTTGTGCTGTAATATGGATATCACTGGGAACTTTAAAAAGCGATTTCATTTTGTTCCAACAAATGAGTGTTGGCTGTAATGAGGAACAATAGCTATTTGTATATTTAGTGGCAGATTTGTGTAAATGTAAGAAATTTTGTTCATGATAGAATAATTGTATCCTTTTCTTTTGTTTGGGGAGAGGGGATTAAACCTGGCTGCATTATACAACTTATTTTTCCTTTCTTTTCTCGAAGAATTATATAGCTAAATACTTCCTTACCCAATTAACTAATCTAAGGAAGTTTTCGAGCTGGTCCATAAGATGGGATTCATTTTTCTGGAATTTTTATATCAACAGACGTCTAGTTCTATCTCTATCTAATATCCTGGCGAAGACTTAATCCAATTGAAAACTACCAAGTACTGCACTATGATAGACAATGGGCATGTTGTGTTTAACATACGGGAGATACTAACACCCCAATCCCCGTCATTATTTTAAGTATTAAACTAACACTAGATTCCATATCATTTGTGCGTTCATATAAATTATTGTGGATAGTTTTTGAACTATGGAGATGTATGGTAGATTGGCATTTTATCATTGCAATGTAAAATAAATTGGTGTATTAGGGTACTTGGATATTCGAGATTTCAATGCTTTATAATGTTTTGGTCTTTGACCAAAGTATTTATATGGACGTTGTTGTAGCGAAGTATTTCTGTAGACATTGTTGTAACACTAGTTTGTTTGACATTGATGTCATTAGGAGACTTTTATTTTATTTTATGTTTTACAGTTTAAATTACCTTGAGCATGACTTTCAAGATAAGAGACTATTTCAGATGCTGATACAAGATTGTAGGGATGCCAAGCATCTCATACGTTTCATGAATGTTAACAATTTCAGGCCATGAATAGATTTGAACCAATCATACCACTGTATTGTATCCTCTTACGATTAATAGTAGCTATCTCTACTTTCAAAACTTTCAAGATATGATGAAAGCAAAAAAAAAAAAAAAAAAAAAAAAAAAAAATTCGCTCTTGGGTTCCGCTCCGCAAGGGTCTACGCCTTCCTAACAGGGAAATTAAACTTCATCCTTGAGATAGCGCAGTTCTTGGTTTACAGAATCGCAATTAGTTTGATATCTTAATATTACTTCAGCTCTTCCATCTTCTTGTCTAGCTTGGCTTCTATGATGGCGTCAAGTTCATTGTCTGAAGCCTTGTTAGAAGCCCATGCTTGAACTTACTTCCCAGGGATCATCCAAGATGGCAGCTTCTCATTCCAGTTGATAAGAATCTTAGGGATTTTAATATAAATTTGATAGAAAGAAAAGCGGTAACCACTTCGAGAGGGTCGTGTCTCCCAATGAAAAGCTTTAGCTACTAATGTTCTTCCTTAAAAAATTGCCATATGGCATGTAGAATATATAGTCCTAAATACTTATTAAAATATGAAACAATACGCAAAGAAAAATACCATAATTAAAGGAAGATTCTCGTTAAAATGTGGAATTACTTAATCAAAGAAAAGTACCAACAAACAAAAAAAAAAATACAATAATTCCAAATATTTTGGTGTCCGAACACTTCGTTTATTCTCATCATTCATCATGAAATCAACCCGTCCTAGAGTCATTTTTTCTTAGAAGAGTGAATAAAGCTAGGTCGGAGCAGCTTGCAGAGATCATAAAAACGTACATCTATTAATCATATAATAGTTTCTCATTTGGTGTCCACTTTTTGTTTTTAAAAAACTCGATTGATTTTTACTGTAATTGAAAATAGAGGAAAAAATTTTCTTTTAAAAATGATTAAAAGGGACCCGACAGTATCCGTTGTGATAAGCTGAATTTCTGAAGGGAAATGGCAACGAAAAGTAGTAAGTACGATATTTACAACCTATCATGAGAAGATGGAGGAGGAGGAGGAGGATCGAGCATCCCTCCGACACCCATAAAGTCACAGGCAAACTCTTCATCATTTTTTCCCAACATATCCTTTAAGCTACATTCGATATTCCTTCCTTTCAGCACCCAATGTCTTGGCTTTATCCTCTTTTCTAATGAATAGCTAAAATACCTAGGGTAGTCCACCACATCTCCTAGTGGCCTCTCCATTGAGTTTACCAGGAATTCTATTTTTGGTCTCAGAACCTCCTCTATACTGTACCCAAGGAGAGGAGAAAATGTACGTACCATAAATGCTACGTCTTTCTCTGAAATCCCTGACTTCATCAAGTACATTATCCTGCAGAAACATCAACAGATCAAGTTACTAAGACAATAACTAGAACGACGCCTCAATCATTCCATCAATCTAGGTGAGAAGAAAAACACTTCATGTTCCACTTTTCTGTTGATGCAATGTAACATTGGTCACGATGCAGTTGAAGAAAATGGAAATTCAACCTATGTTTTCGTGCAACTTTTAAAAAAAAAAAAATCTAATGATCAGAGAAAACTGAAACTTGCAAAAGAGCGTTACCATGTTTATATGATTCTAAAATCTAAAGTATTAAGAATTATTATAGAATAGTAGATACTCGCTGCCAGAAAATGACACAAGATGCCCAGGTAATGTACTAGATATTGATTGGGTGAGAGTCAACAAATATGAATGAGACTAGAACAACAGTAAACAAAAGATAAAAATTATGAGTCAGAACAATACCGTTGCGGTAAAGTTTGGTCAATGTCAGACAGAAGTACTTCTGGATACTTTCTGATAACCTTAGGAAGGTAAGTTTTACAAACACCAACCCCATAAAGGAACTCAATCTTTCTCTGTAGAGTTTTATCAATGCTGGCAGCAAAAATTTCAGGGCAGCGGGCAAGTATTCTCCCTATAGTTTCTTTATCAAAACCTATATTTTCGAAGAACAGAACAACCTGTACATAACAATGAGCAAGAGCTTATTTTATAAACAAATTAAATGAAGTAGCAACAATAAGTATAATAAATACCTATCTGCAGCTATGACAAACAAAAACAGTAACAATTCAATCAAGAACTTTTTTCTTATAGACAACAACATCATGAACCAACTACAATAGTCAAAGGTAGGATCAAATAATGAAGAATCGATCAACAAAAAAGGGTGCATTGTATTGAGATTTGACATATTGGTGGGACAAGAACAGCAGATTCAGAATAACAAATAAAAAAGGAGGATAGAGATAAGTCAAAAATACAAATGCAGGTATATCGTATGGGTATCGATATTGGATACAGATACATGACCAATTTTGGTATACATGCATCATAACCTAACTATTTCTAGCTTGTCCAGAAGACATGCTTGACAAAGCACCATTCTCATTTTCAGGTCACTAAACTTTTCACATCCTCAAACCTTCACTCAGGTTTAGCCGCTTTAAACAATCCAAATAATGGCAATTAATGTCATTTTATTCCATCCCTTTCCATCAATCCAAACATATCCTCAGTAAAGCTTCAACTATAGCCATGGTAAAAATGAATTGTTTTGACTTAAAAAAAAATGCTTTGCTTTGTTGATAGAGAAAGAAATATATTGATGAAAAGTTGGAAAGTACAACTAGGGGATTATAAGATATTTCCAAAACTAAAAAAAAAAAAGTCATGATGATTTGTCCTACTGTCTCGTAACCAGAACTGCACATAAAACACATGTTAGGAGAATGAGAAGTGGAGAGGCCTACAAATCAGCAACAAGTCTTTGGTAACAACCATATTGAGTACTTACTGACATTTAGGAAAAAAGGGCAACCTTAGAGGGTGCTTCGGGACTGAAAGTCCCAAGTCGAATTAGAGCTCTGAAGTAGAATAGAAAATTTTAACGGATGAATTATGTAGAGAGATAATAAAGTCAAGGAAAAGTCTCTAAGAAAGGAACATTCATTCCCCACCAAGTGTTGTCCCAAACTTTATACAAGTACCATTACCCAAGTTAAAAGTAACTGGCAGTCTAAACGAGGGACTAGCATGGGTTGCAGTGATAATTGGTCAGCATCCCACTACTTTTGATCTAACCCATACTTACTCTAAATTACTTGATGCCATGACAAGGTAGTCTAGTCTGTGAAGGAAAGTGCCATAGCCACATTGCTGTCAAAGCAATGTTTTTAGACACCAACTTCCCAAGACCCAAACACCCTTCTTTCTTAAGCCTGCAACAAACCTCCTAGCTGACAAGATTATCTCTTATCAGCTAGCCCACAACAAACCAGAGAAACTCCCCCACAATATTATCTATCCTTTGAGTCAAGCCTGCATGAATTCAAAAGGTAAAGGGGAATGCTAGATGAGCAAGTCTAAAAGAGAGTAATCCAACCTCCGAAGGTGTGAAAGCACCATTTCAATTTCTATACCCTTATAAGTCTTCTCACGTACAAGACTTCAAAAAGAAATAGCCCAATGATTACCACCAGACAAAACTCCCGAGTAAGAGGCCATATGAATATACATATTCAATTCAGCCAAACCAATCTTCTAGTCAGATAAACCTTCTGATGGGAAGCATCCTATAGTAAGGGTACACTCTAGTAAGCCGAATGGGCTCTTGTGTGAGGAGACATGTTTGAGAAATATAATATAAGACCAATCATCTGGCCTTCACCTAAAAGCTTAAGTTGTTGGGTCGAATTGGTTCTTTACACATTCAAATTGGGATTGCAGTTAGATATATGCAATTATGTTGTGGTTAGTTAGTAATATAAATGGGAGAAATAAATAATAGATAGGTAGTTAAGAAATCAGTAAGTGTGTGTATTTGGGAGACACCAGAAGCCCCTCTAATGCTTTACATTTAATGTCTATATAATTCATGTATTTCTTGTATGAACATACCATTGTAATACATTTCCTTCATATTCATTATCCCCATTCTCTCTTCTATCACCTTCAAACCAGAAAGGGCCTACCTTAAGGTTAGAAAGAATATTCACATAACTATCACTAACGTCCTCTAGCAACAGCCATGATTAAAATTAATGGTATGCATATTGTCATGAACCAACTAACCCAAAAGCTTAAGTTGTTGATTAAAGACACATGAATGGTCTTATACTTTTATAACATCTCTAACATGTGTCATCAAACAAGAGTCCTTTGGACTTAAAGAGTGGATAATATACAAGCCCACCTACTTTGTGCTTAGTTTCAATTACTTTTTATTTAAGAGAACGAGGGCAGGAAGGATCGAATTCAAAACCACTTGGTCATAGAGCTCTAATACCATGTCATGAACCATCTCAAAAACTTACATTGTTCAATGAAGACACATGAATGATTTTATATTTTTATAACATCTCTGAAGCATATCATATACTTGATTAAAGCAAAAAAGAATAAATACCTGTAGAAAATCTTTCGGCTTCCGTAATAGTAGCTGAGGACTTTTAGCAATAACTCGATCCAACTTTTTGCTTTGAACTCCTAGTTCAGCAATGTGATCCAACATCAACTTCAGCTTGCTAGTTGAACAACCCAATAGATGAGGTTGGCTTTTGATTGCACTATCTATCCATGTCTTAGGAATCTATAATGAAGCATTCTATTATTAGTCCCGTGCTTCTATAAATCACTCTTCCAGTCAAATTAATGAAATATACTTCCCTATCCACTCACCCATAATGCAAGTACCACAAACATTGTTTTTAAAAGATACAAGCATATACACGTGGAACAAATTGAATTCTTAATAAGGCACCAAAAGGACCAAGTCACCAACCATAATCATATGGATATGACATAGACAAATCTACATAAAAGGAAGTCTAATGACTTAACTGCACTGAATTTCTAAATAAACATTTTGGCACAAAACTGCATGCTAAAGCTCTCCCCATAAGGCCAAAGGTAAAATAAAGGTCATAGCTTGTGGTCCCACCCCCCCAACTTCTAAGCAGTTGAAGAAACAGAACAATAAAGATTGTCTTATTTGGTTTGAAAATCAGTAATGCTATTGCTAATTAAAATTCATGAACATTGCGAATAACTAATTACATAATCAAGAGGAGATTGGTGGACGAATAGTTACTTTCTCATTTATTAGTATATAAATACTTAGCATAGTGTCTTACTGATGTCTTGTACGTGCGAGTGCGACCATCTATTTTTTCTTGATTGCTGCTGCACTGTATGATTACTCTACTAGTGACTATACTAGATTATGCTCTCTGTTCTGTTAAGGAAGGTAGTTACACTGTTGTAACAGACTCAATACTGAGTCAACTGTGATCTGCTCTCTAAATAAAGCTTGCCTTGTAGTAGAACACTTTACAGAACACTGTTCAGTTTTCTCTCTCTCTCTCTCGAACTCTCTTTCTCTCACTTTCTTGATCATTATATTAACAGAAAAGTACTAATAACAGTGATAATGAGTAGATTGTGCAAGTGCATTGATTCCAGACCACGAAACATTGCTATGTAAAAATATAAAATTTTGCTGTTTATCTTGAATTAATTTTAACCCAATAACTTGTTTCATTGCAACTTCCTTGTTATTAAAGGTCAGGGGTAGGTTGACTTGATGCCTTATTAAAATTGACAAAGAGCACCTTCAGGCATTAAATTTAATATTACAGAAGTATATCTTATGGTGGTAGCAAATACGAGTATATGACCTTGTATCCTGCAGCTCAAAAAAGGACTGCAGGTGGGGCAGTCCAAATCTGACAGCCTCTAATTTTTTACACCATATTTGTTTTTAATATTTTCATGTAAAAAATTAACAATTCAAACTAATTAATGACCTTAGTTTGCTTTTAGTGATACGTCAACTTTCATAAATACAGCTACAGATGCATCCAATATCATTTGGACAGAAGAACTCATGATCCAGCAGAACCATACCTGCTCGGAATATAAAAAGTCAAGGATCTCCTTATAATTCTCTTGAATGCTTGTAGATAGGACCCAAGGATATTTTAGCAATAACTTGACATGATCTTTATCCACCACATCAATCTACAAAAGAATATATGAGTAATTAATCAATTCAAGGTAGAAAATGACATTAAACATAGTGATGACATTTAATTCTAAGCCCAAAGTACCTATGCTAGCAAAAGAGAAGTGTTTATGATATCAAAATCACCATCATAATCATCTTAAGAGCAATGAAAGGTCACAATTGCAAAAAGGTGTACATTAAAGCGTTAAAACAAGGTAAATTCCGCTAAGTAATTGATTCAAGCATTGAGAAGCAAAAACCTTGAGAAAAGAAGGAAAAAAGCGCAACTAAGTTGAATCAAGGGAGGAGAGACAAAATCCATCGAAATGCACAGTTCAGAAAAAAGACAGCACAAAAAATGCAGGTTTCATGAAAAGAAAAATTGAAACTCTAAACATTACAGTAAGTAACTACGATTTTGTGCATATAAAGTTCGCGGATTTTGTGAATATAAAGTTCGCAGATTGAATGCAGAATAAAATTGATGTACCTCATTCAAAGCTAGGACTCTAGTTTTCAGGACTTGAACATTCCACAGCAGAATGGGAGGAAAACCCAATATTATGTTTGGGATGCGAAATCTGGGGATTCCTATACTCTCGAGGAAATCCACAGTACGTGTCATGTGGTTGTTTACTGATAACAAAAGTAGACGGGGAAATGATTCAACTAAATAATGGAAAGCGGAATCTTTGGAAGCCAAAACGTTTAAACCTCCACGCCTAGCTTCAACCTTTTCGAAAAAGGATAGAGTGTGTTGTAGATCTTCGTCAATTGAAATTGATAAGTGGAGCATCATGCGGCGAATATTTTTGATAAGGAATTCATCAGAATGAGTGAGTTGCTTCATATATGTAACCTTGTGCATGAGAGAGGGGAGGGTGTCATCAGATAGATATCTAGCGAGATTCATAGACCAAGAGAGAGTGAATCCCAGACTCTCTAGGTATGCAACTTTCCCATTGTCACCTTTGTGAGCAGCAATATGAAGAAGCTTCTCCTTGAAGTTGGAGCCCGCAATTTGTTTATCGGAATCAGAATCGAAATCCCACAGCTGCTCCAAATCCCTCACACCTTCCATCAACATGTTCAGATAAGCGGGTGAGTTTGATGCGATGGATAGGGAATCTTCCTCGGACACCCCAAATTGTTGGAGAAAACTTGAAACAGCCATACGCCCTTCCGAAACAGAATCGGAACCGGAACCCGAACCAGAACCAGAACCACAACGGCAATTTGATCTTCTTCTTGTTCTTAATCTTGTGTGATAATAATGAACTTCGAATGGAGACGGAGGATGTGGATGTGTGAATGAGATGCACTTACTGTTCAACAAAGAAGACTGAATCTGGCGTGGAAGCGCAATTGGGAGAAAGGGATTTGAGTGCAACTTAGATAACATGTTGATATTAAGGATAAGGAGCTAAGCTACCACACCACAACCACAACCACAACCACAACAATTTCTTCTCTCTCAAATTACTCAACTCCACCTCCACCATCACCTTCCCTCCCTCTTCGTATCCTAAAACCCTGTAAATCTAAAACCCGCGTACCGGTCTGCAAAAACCCATTCTATATATGAACCGGTTTTTTTAAAACAGTTCAACAAATCGAACCAACCGGTTGGTTTATCACCCTGACCCAAACCGAGTTCGGAATATCAAAATTCAGAACCCTAGCCTCATTGTTGTTTCATCACTTCCGTTCATCTAATCATCTAATCAAATCTGAGTTCTGAGGTGCCGTCCCTCCCGTGATCATCTTCCATGAACCCGATTCTCTTATTTATATACTGTTGTTTCCTCTTAAATGGGTATTATTTATTTGTTGATCTTACGCCTTCTTCTTCAAAGGAAATTTTGTTTTTGTTGGTCTTGATTTTCCAGCAAGAAATATATCTTCTGATGTCATTCATAAAGTATCGGTTCTGTTTCCAATGTGTTGGTCATGATATGTAATTAGCTTCAAATTCAGCAGCTACATATTCTTCTGTCATGTCCTTGGGTGTAGGGAGTGGTAGATATCCATCATTTTTGCTCTGTTCACTGAATTAGGACGTGCATTTCATTTTCTACCTTAAATCCTATCACTTGGTCTTTCATGCCATAAACTCGTATTTCTGGACAATATCAAAATCAAATTCCTGGTGAATTTTGTCGAAAACGTTTTTCTCCTTGTTACACTCAAGGATTACGATCCTCTGAGCTCCGGTAAACCTAATGGTTTAGGGTTTTTGCCTGAGATTACATAAATTTAATAGTTCCTAATTAACTTGGAGTAATGAATTTAGCATGAAAAATACATAAATTCAGATAATATTTTTAATTGAAGATGAATAAAATATATTTTTGACATGACTCAAATAACTTTATACGTGTTAATGTTAAATAAAATGTCTACAGTAATTTTATATTAAAACCATAAAGAGTTGATGAACCTGATTACTTGTGCTTTAGCTATGGATACAAATGTCTACAATAATTTTATATTAAAACCATAAAGAGTTGATGAACCAGATAACTTGTGCTTTAGCTATGGATACTTGGCGAGGAAGTGATACTGATGACCCATAAAGAACATAATGGCATATTGCAAAGGCTACTAAGGAAAAGAATGTTGCTCCGACCTATTTCCATCCCCATAAGGTCAAACAGAAATGCCACTTTCGAATTCTGAACAAAATGTGGAGGTTTGTAGTGTTTGTTTGGTTGAAGGTTTATTTTGGGACTGATGAGAAAGTGTAAGTGGATATTGGAAAATACCACGTTTGGTTCAGTTTTTTTTTAAAAAATACTTGGCAAATAGGATAAATGGAAAAATGACTTTTGTGTTGATTTTTGGATGAAATTCAATGTTACAGAATACCACATGAGATGTGATATTTTGAGATAACTGGGGAAGTGAAAAAACAGGTGCAAAATTTCTTCCCGAACATAGATTTTGCATATTTAAATAAATTTCTCTGGTAATATTTCGGTCAACCAAATAACTTTTTTTATATTTTCCTACCAACTTATTTTGCAAGTATTTCTCTAGTAAAATTTTTTCTCTCCAATTAGTGCTAACTGCTGAGCATGCCAGATTTATTTACATGTTGCAACACAGCAAATGATGATATTAACATGAAACACATATGAGTGGGGTAAAAAAAGATGTAAATGTCAAAATCTAAACCACGTATGCATATCCCAACACTCAGATGCAGCCTATCTACAAACCACTCTCTCATAAATCATAATCCAATCCTTTTGAGATAAGTAACTACATTCAGGCCCAAGTTCCCTTGAGAAGGGGACTTGTAGTTGTAGATGAATCTCCAAATGTGTTGAGGAGATCAGAGCAGGATGCATCTTCCGTGAGAAGCTCGAGACCCAACTCATCTTCAATATGGTCAGAAGCAGATATGAGCAAGAATTCGCATCCTTCATAGTTGAGAAAGTCAGGTGGATCAGCGGGACCGAACTTGACATGACCCAGAAGCCCTTGCAGGTGGGCAGGGAAGACTACTGCCTTGCGTTTCTTTAGGACACCTGATCCTGCCTTTTCCGGGTTCTTTATTTGAATTATGAATGAACCCTCGCGTTCAATGTTCAGTGATTCCTGAGGCTCCTTCTTCTCACCTTCAGGTGGAAATTCTAGCTTGTAGATCAAATGGGTATGACTTCTTTTCCCTCCCTCTGCCATGTGCCTTAAAATCCGGTATATGCCTTCTCCTACTGCTCTCGCAGCACCACTATGTCTGTGTCCTCTAGTTGAAGTTTCATACTCCCCTGCCACCGATGCCATTCAACATATCATTTCATATACATACATTCATGTAAAAAACTCACGTGAGTTTAAATTAGCAAATAAAATTTTATATAAGAATGTGCACTTTACCTCCTTTAAGGGAAGTCTTCAGATGATCTGCTTTTGTGGTAACTGTCTCTACAAAACCCCAGTAAGGTCGGCTTTTCTCGCTCGGATCAGGAAGGCTTTTCCGTCCCATTACAATCAAACGAAACAATGATTTCTCTTCAATGTTTATTTCCTACACACGCGGTTGAAGGAAATATCTCAATTTTACATTGTTACTTGTAAGATAAGACACAGTTTATTCAGATTACTTATTTTATGTCTAGTATAATATCTTTCTTTTTTAAAAAACAAAAACATTTTTATATAAACCTATATTTGGACTATAGGTTATGTTCTTTCTAATAATAGATTAGAAATACATGAGTGTGGTCCCGTATTGACTTTTTTGTCTACGTGTAATATGAGAAAATTTTTCATGTAAAATGAGAAAATCAATTCACTTTAATTAATCCTATGATCCATTCATAGCAAGTAGCAACAACAACTTTCACCTGGCTGCAAGTGCCATGTTCCCCGGGTAAGTTTGATCCTTTCTTGGCACCTTCGTCACCTCCGTCGAGCTCTTGCTTCTCTTCCACCGCCCTTTCACCGGAATCTGGCCGCATAATAATGTAGAAACGCTGGACATCATCAGCGCTGTGAGCTTCTTCCTTGCCAACTTTTGGCCTGTAGAAAAAAAAAATATCCCCTCTCTCCTGCATTATTTTTTACAATCACTAGTTGAAATGGCCAGACATAATTTTCATCTTAAAATAAAAATTAAAACTCGAATTTTTACTGTGGGAAAAAAGTAAGATTTCCGAACGGACACCACAGGAGAGAGAAAGAAGAACCTGAATTTCAACTTGGGGTTCTGGTCGGGTCTTCTGCTCTTGGCCCTGTCCCATTAATTCTTCTACAAAGAGTTGTGTATCTTTTCCAGAGATAGATGACAAACAACATTACATTACAGAGCATGCTCCCTAGTTCTCCATATTTTATATGGAAAGAAAGTTTAAACTGTTTACTTTAAAAAGAGAAAAGAAAAACACGAACAATAGACACGTCACTTAAACGAGAAACCTCCCTTTTGTGCGTAGGCAGACACGTCCCAAAGCCATTTACAGTAAGTAGCACATGCATGTCTGCCACGTTATTTGATTTTAGGGTGCCAACTGCCAACTACCAAGTTCTAACTCTCTATTTCTATCTTCTTCTCCCTTTTGTCTTTTCCTTTTTCACTTACTCAATTTCGTTATTATCAATTGACCCACCACTATTTGGTCTCTATCTTTGTCTAATTTATTCTCTTATGTATAATCATATGTAATGGTGTCCTGTCTTGTAACGAAGTGGAATTGACGTGATTTAATTAGAAATTATAGTAATTAAAAGGATATGATATTATATTTACTTTTTTGGTTGATGCTTACTTTACTTATTCATTTTCAACCTATTATATCATACATCAAAATATCAAAAGAAGAGAAGAAATAAAGATTAATTCTAATATAATAATATTGAAAATAAATACATATGAAGAAAAGAAGGTATAATAATTTTTTTTAAATGATGAGATTACGTCCTCTTGACTTTAAAGATTTTTCAAAAATTTACTTGAAACAAGGTGTGAACTCTTGACCCAAGCAAATTTTTGAAATCCAGCTGTCAACTGAGCTATCATTGGAGTTAAAGATATAATATCTTAACAGGATAAAAATAAGATAGAATATTATATCTATATTTTTTTTCATATTTATTATACATACTCATTTCTAACACCGTTAAATTAGAATATCAAAAACCGAGAAAAAGAATAAAGATCAATTTGAGATTCTGCCTTTTAAGTATTGGAAAAAAATAGATAAAGTACACATAAAAAAATAGGTAGAATGTTTTATCCTGATGTAAATATATTATTTTTTAGTTTAAATACAACATTGATTTTTTATCTAGTTTTACGAAGACTAATAAAAAATAAATAAATATATATATATATATAAAAATTAAAAAGTATTTTTTTATATAAATTTTAAATTTATCGCATTAAAAATATATCTTATAAAGAAGGATCAATTTACACCTCTTTTTTTCCGACAAAATCACTCTTATCCCATGAAATCTATGAATTAATCTCTATTAAAATTTCTATTCCTATGTTGAACAGAACTACATCCAGTCTTGTGCTTTATGTTCCCATTAGCACGCGTGGCAGGTGCCATAGGAGAACTTCTATACGTCTTGGCCTAAGCGGAAGCTTCTAAAGTTTACAGTGGGGAAACAAGGCTTTTTGACCCTTATAACCCTTTATTATTAATTAATTATCGATTTGACCTTGATTATAAACTATTTCAAAAATTTAACCCCCTCAGAAAACATAACACCAATCTGCCCCTGTTTGACCGTTGACCACCAAGCCTACCCGGGTACACCCCTCTGTACCCGGGTATTTTTTGAAAAATTTTGTCTACCCGGGTAGGGAGGAGTGTACCCGGGTATTGTTCTTCGTACCTGAAAAATTGCTTGAATTATTTACCCGGGTAGAGAGGGGTGTACCCGGGTAAATCTTCGACCACCCATTTGGTATTTTTTCTCTCTTTTTTACAGCTAATGAGATAGATCAGTATTATCAAGTTAAGCATGCCTAACCAATTTGAAGAGCTTTTAGCTTTGAGAATGGATTTGAAATTTCCATACATCAACACTGTATTGCTCATCAAAGCGGTCCCTGTTCGTATCGATTATGATGGGGTCTACTTTTATGTACGTCAAAATCGCGCTCCTATATATAAATATGGTACCGGGTCTATTGGGGAGAGTGAGACGGAAAGAAAATAAAGACAGGGTTCATGGTACAGAAATTTAGTGTGAGCATGTAGCTTTTCATTTTACTGGTAAATGACGAATTATCACGTTCAGGGAAGACATGCATGGGACAAGGTTTGTGGTTGTGGATTTATACTGTTAACTGAGAATTCTCTTTCTGAAATAATCATTGAAAAATATTTGTGTGCTTTACAGACCCAAAAAAGTTGCAGAGGCAGAGCACGTGATAGTCGGTGCCTCCATATTCAAAGCTTGGAGAAGAAGAGTGCATGAGAGATCCAAAGAGTAATCATACCGGGTGATTGAAGATTTACCCGGGTACATCCCTCTCTACCCGGGTAAATAATTCAAGCAATTTCTCAGGTGCGAAGAACAATACCCGGGTACACGCCTCCCTACCCGGGTAGATAAAATTTTTCAAAAAATACCCGGGTACAGAGGGGTGTACCCGGGTAGGCTTGGTGGTCAACGGTCAAACAGGGGCAGATTGGTGTTATGTTTTTTGAGGGGGTTAAATTTTTGAAATAGTTTATAATCAAGGTCAAATCGGTAATTAATTAATAATAAAGGGTTATAAGGGTAAAAAAGCCGGGGAAACAAACTCGTTGTATTCTTCAATTCTTTGTATGTTGTGTTGATTGAGGACTTTGATTTGCATTGCATACATACCACACTGGAGTCTGATGAAGTGTTTGTTCATGCATATATTTTTTTCTAAAGAAAAATGATATAATAGCAGAACAGAAGGGTCGTACTTTTCGTCAGAGTATAGAAATTGCACGGTTTACATTCTCTAACATATTTACATATTACAAAAAATGGGATTATCATTTGCCCTGTGTGTCTTCTGAAACCTCACTCATGGGGATCTAAGTTAAATGAAGGATAATTTACTAGCCTAGAACAAATGCCTTACTTTTTGTGTGAGTATATATTGTCTTGAATAACTTGGATGTATTATCAGCTTCAGCCAGGGAAACAAATTTTGGTTTGATTCCTCTTCTGCCGGAGTGTTTAGTTCAGGTGAGCCTGCATGTTCATCGAAACAGACAGCTTTTACTCTACATTATAGAGTGAGGTCTCGTCTATTTAATATCTATATATTTTATTTAAACCTGCTTAAGACTTCGCTTCTGTGGGCGTTGATGGAGTTGATGAGCTTCCTGAATGTACAAGCCGCGGGTCGCTCATCACCTCCTGCAAAATTATTAATACTATGAATTAAGCAGCATTATTTAATTATGGTTCGATGTAATGTGAGCTATTGTCATATAAAGAAACCTGTTGCAGGGAAGCTTCACTGTGGTTGGGGGAAGGCGCAATAGAACTAGTGCCTCCTAAAAAGATGAGACTCATATTTTCTTCGGCAAACTCTCTCAATTTATTGAGCTCTGGCAACACCTCTATGCCAAGGTCTGGCCGATCTTTTCGCCTGAGTTGTGCACAGTTGACAGCTATCTTTGCAAGGCACAAGGCTTGTTCAAGAGGCCAGTCAGTGATCGATGGGTCAAGCATTTCCCCAAACGTGTCATTCTCAATAGATTGTTCAACATGGTGAGCCAATCCCATTGGTGGCTTGCCTGTCAATAATTGAAGAAATATGATCCCCAGAGAATAAACATCGGATTTGACACCAAGCATTCCTGTTTGCTGATACTCAGGATCAATATAACAGAAAGTTCCAGCCGCTGATGTCATGCAGCATTGTGTTACATTTTCAGCTACAGCAGGGACAAGTCTTGCCAATCCCACATCACTAATCTTAGTTACATAATTCTGGTCTAACAAAATGTTGCCTGGTTTCAGATCACGATGCACCAAAGGCTCAGGCTTTGTCTGATGGAGGAATAGCAAGCCCGTCGCTATCTCTGCAGCAATTCGGAACCTCAGCTGCCAAGACAGAACACTCCTGTTCCTTTTTCGAAAGAGACAATCTTCTAAGCTTCCATTAGCCATATATTCATATATCAATATGCCATACTCTGGACACGCTCCTAGAAGAAGCACCATATTAGGGTGGCGCATACAGCTAAGTATGTCAACCTGCATAGGAATAAGAAATTTCGCTTCCACAAGTTAAAAGGATATTTCAGAATTGGTATTCAATTTCTAGGCATTACAATGTATTATGGAATATTTCCATATCCTAACCACCTACCTAAGGATCCCTTAAAGGATAATTACTCAATTATCCTAACAATTGAATCTGAATATTATTGTATATTCAAGTGTGTATAACTGTACAAGAAGACTCTCTATTTATAGAGACTAAAAGACTTAATGGGCCAAGCCCACAATCTAGACTATTCTAATAATAATAGATTAATATTATTTCTAACACTAACAATATAAACAGTAAGACTGCTAAAGATAGAGTGCCTATCCCAATAGTAAAGAAGTTGAATCCACAACTGAAAGATCTACACAAACCCAAGAGGTAACCAGGTACACACTTTTTGACCTGTTTACTATTGCTGTCAATACTGTGCACACACCCACATCTTAGCTATAAGCCTATTGCTTGTGTGCAGTGATTGGAGTGTTGGCTATAAACCAATTTAGATACCTATCTCTAGGATATTTCTGAGCGCATACCATACGGTATAACAATACGGTCTTATAGAACCTAACACAATGGTACACATGCAAGGCTCGTGGTAACCCTATGTTCATTTCATATTTAAAAATATTAACATGGGGTGATCCATATCTATGTATCTAGAACGAATTAACACACAAAGGGTGGTTACCCCTCAACAATTTTGAATTTTAGGGAAACAACTCTTGTGGGAGTATCATATCTGATCAGTTTAAAATGGGCCAAGCTTGTGAAGATTCCTCATGCTCAAAGAAAATAATAATAATAATAATAACAATAATCAATTATTCCAAGGGTCATTCGTTGGTTTAGCCTTGCTTTTGCGCTTTTAGGTTTACCCTTGATCCATAACTGCCTCTCTATCATTGGAAGTAGATTAATTTTTTTTTTTTGGTCTCATAAAAAGACAAGCTTAGCTGTGATGAAAGCATTGCATGAAGTAAAACAGTAAAAAACACAAAAGTGGTTCTGGTTGATCACCTCTTGCTGAAACTGTGACTTCCCTTGAGCAGCATCTGGACGTAGAACCTTGACCGCCACTGGAGTGTGATCAAGGTAACAGTTATAAACAGGGCCATAACCTCCTTCCCCGATTTTCAGAGATTCAGAGAAGAAGTTCGTGGCTGCTTCAATCTCCTCAATAGTGTATTTCCTATATCTTTCATCAGTTTGGGCTAGATTGTCCAATAGTTTCTTCATTTCCTCTACTTCTTTAAGAGATTTAACTTCAACACTTGCTCTTCTATGTGATTCCACCTCTGCAATTTTCTTAGCTGCTTCAGCTGTTTCCATGGCTGCCTTACTTCTTGCTTTCTCTTTCTCCGCAATTGCCAGAGCTGCTTCCTCGCCCAATCGTGTCTCTTCTATTTTTTTTTCTTCCTCAATTCTCCAGTTGTTCAGCTCCATTAACTATAGGAAACAAAAGAGTAGAACCAGTTGAAATCGAAATAACACATTTGAAAAAAAAAAAAAAAGGAATTATTTTTCAGATTTTACCTTCTGTTGTGCTGTAAGTGCTTCTCTGCATGCTGTACTGTACATTTCCATCGTTTGCTTTAACTCAAGCTTCAGCCTCCTCATATCAGTTTCTGCTTCATCCTAAATGTTATAGCAAAAGTAAGTGGATACCTTTAATCGTGAGGTATCTTTGAAGATATTTTTAGAAATGGAGTGATATATTCTGATATAGCTATCTGTTGAGATATTCAAGTGTGATGAGTCCTACATTTGTTGGTAATGAGCTAAGTAAAAAGTATATAAGTAAAGGGACCCATGAACCCATTGCCTTAAGGTTTTGGGTTGAGACATGGCGTCGGATCCACTTGCTACTGTTGGTGTAGCCTTAGCTCATTGATGGTGGCCCCCGCCACGGGCTTCCCCTGGACCCGCTTGACATTGGAGTTTGAGGGAACGAATTTCCCAACTCTGGTATCAGAGCCGGATTGGGCTCAAGCTAGCCTAGTGATTGGCTAGGAGGCGGGTCGAGTACTTTGCGCTTCGGGTACTCGGTTGAGGGGAGCATATTTGGAACTTCATGGTATACTCATGGATTGGCAAGTTGCTATTTGGAAGGCTGCAACTTCTTAACCACTGCAGTATCCACTCATGCTAATAGTTTAGCTAGCCTAGTGATTGGCTAGGAGGCGGGTCGAGTACTTTGCGCTTCGGGTACTCGGTTGAGGGGGAGCATACCAATGGTGGGTTTCACACTTAAGGGGGAGATTGTTGAGATATTCAAATGTGATGAGGGAAGGGACCCATGAACCCATTGCCTTAAGGTTTTGGGTTGAGACATATAGTGTCGGATCCACTTGCTACGGTTGGTGTAGCCTTAGCTCATTGATGGTGGCCCCCGCCACGGGCTTCCCTGGACCCGCTTGACATTGGAGTTTGAGGGAACGAATTTCCCAACACTATCTAATTATATTTAATTTTGGAAAGATATTGATATCTAATCAATTGAAGTCACGATAAATATATAAAAAATAAAATAAAATAGAGTGCTCACCATGTTCTGTGATGAATATGAAAACGATGTTCTATTGCTTTCATGTGAAAACGACGTATCTGGTGAACCGGACTCAGGGAACTTGAGTCCCAATCGGACAGATCCAAAGCTACGATCTGAACTGGTAGAAACTCTACGATCTGAACTAGTAGAAACTCTATGATCTGAACTGGTAGAAATTCGTGAAGTTCTGCCCGAGTCAATACAGTCATAAACATAGGATGAACATCCACTGCTTGGCCTCTCAGAGCTTACAAATGATATGTCCGTATCTGATTCTGCAAAGTCCATGCATGACATTACACTCGAGTCTCTTCCTCTTGCAAATGGTGACCTGCTTGAACCACGGAAACGATGTTATTCTGAGTCTAGGTCATATAAAGGTTGATTGCACCATTCCTCCCCCAAAAAGGATATACGATTTTATACACTTTCACTTTGAGTACCAAGTCAAATAAAAAATTTAAGCCATCGACCATGAAATCAAATGGATCAATGCTGAAAAGATGATTATCAAAAAAGTTTGTTTTGAAGGGATGACTTACTTAATGGACTCATCCATCCAGCTGTGAGGTTTGATTGATGTCCTGTCTGCAGCATATATGTGATCAAAACATGATTAAAATTGCAAGAGCATAGTTCCCGAACAATCTGTATTTCCCAGAAACAAACCTCTCGAATTTATACGTCTAGAGGGCATCTCAGGTTGATTTCCATCCTGGTTATTTAGATTATATATATGGCTCAGAAGTGGTGAGGTATGTGGGGCTGGACGAGAAGCATTCCTAACTGAGGAGATTTTCCCCTTAGAAATGACAAACACGGTACAGAAATCTGGCGACCCCTTTGATATGTTGCTTGGTGTACTTGATGACTTAAATCTGCACAAGAAATGGCCAGTAAACTTAAAGAAAGGTTCAAAACTGTTAGAGAATATATAAATCATAAGAAAGGTTTTGAGTTGAAATTGGTTCTTAACATGGTATCAGATCCTCAGTGACTATATGGTCACTAGTTCGATACTCACCGCCCCTCACTTTCTAGTAGAATTAATTAAAAAGCACAAAAAAGTAAACCAAAAATTGTGCCTGTGCAATATCCACGCTTCAGGCCTAAGGGGCTCTTGCGTGCGGGGATGTGTTAGAGAACATATAAATCATTAAAAAGACCCTCACCCAACACCTTAAGATTTTGGGTTGAAATGGTTCTTTAACAAAAATCCGCACTTAACAAACTAGAGACTCTTTTTGGGATTTTATCCATATATGCTATATAGATTGCCTTGTTCTCCTCTTGTTGGCTTCCCTTTTGCAATATGTATCCACCAAAGGATACTTTTTCTGCAAACATAATGTTTGTTCCTTTCCGCTAATATCAGAATTACTCTCTTTAAAATAGTTATGAATGCAATCTAAAATTTGCTGGGGTTCTGGTTAATTTAACTCGAGATAGAGGACCTTACCTAATAAAACCATGCCTTGATGTTGCACCAACCACCAAGTTCTCAATTGCAGCATAAGAGACATATTCTGTTATTGCTTTCACCACGTCAGAGTCTTCAAGTAGGACATCAAGGCATTGTATCTAACAAAATATATAACAGCAGTAAGCAATGTGGAAAAATATATGTACATAATTTCTTAACATGGTGTTCATTACAATCTGAATATAAAAAGAGGACGGAATTTGATCATGGTCATAAAATATCATTATTGTATTTGCTGTGTAAACCAAGTAAATGTAAACCAAGGGAGAAATCTGGCTGTCGAACCTACATCTTTGCGTGTACAATAACAATGGAATGTAAGAAACAGATCTTTGGTAGTGTTATCCATTTGGTGTCTCTGTGGAGATGCATCTGAACTGTTGATGTTACATACTATGGCATGGCTACCTCCTCCTGCATTTGAAAAAGATAGAGTTTTGTGTTGAGATTTAGTTATATGGGTTTAAAGTTTCTTCTAAAGTTATATTAAATAACTTTATCTAATGTTTACTGACAAGGCTCGTGTTTTTTTTTTTCTCTCTCTTCTATTCGCATTAGTCCACATAGACTCCACATACTTTTCTGTGTGTATTTTGATAAACATTAGATAAAATTTTCTATAGTTATATTCATATGCACCATCTCCCCCTGTTTTGGTAAGAATCGCATCATGATCAGTGCACCCAAACAACTAGTGCAATAATCTAATCCACTATTATATGTAAGATTACATTAATTTAATCTATTAGTCTATTCTCCCTTACAAAATGAGACATGTTATTGTAATTTTTTTTTTTCCTTAAAAAAAATTATAAATACAACTCTTTTAATTAACTATACTTATTTTTTTTATAATTTTAAATATTTTTATTTAATTTATACTTTTTCATTTTATATGAATTAATTATGTATATCTCTCTTGACTGTGATTTTTTTCTTCTCTAAAATTAAAGTATGAAATTTTTTCTCTTATAATTGTAATTTCTCTTATTATTATTTTTTTAATTTGTATTTTTAAATTTCATTCAAAGTTAAAAGTATAGTTTTTATTGTGAGGGTAATCACTAATGTATAGTTTTTATTGTGAGGAGGCATAACATATAACGTTGACTTGCTCACAGTGCCTCAGACTAACTGTCTCGCCGTCCTTTCTTTTTTAAGTTAGAAGTTACTTATAACCATAAGTTAGGTCAGACAGATTTTAAGAAAAACTTTTATAACAAAAAGTTCTTTTTTTATACTAAAGAAAAAAATTAAAAATTAAAAACTCCTAAAAAGAGCTTTTTTTTAGCTTTTATCTGTTTTTCTTAACTTGTATGTTTTTTTTTTAAAATAAAGAGCGATAAAGATAGAAAGAAAGATAATTTTCTTAAAATATATGCTTTTAAATAATTTTTAAGCTAAAATTTTTATATAATTTTCAAACAGTTTTTAACTTTTTTTTTAATTTTTTTTTTTAACTTTAACTTATAAATACATTCTAACATATTAAAAATAAGAGGATAGAATGCTGTAACTATAATTTGATTTTGAACAACTGTACCGATCCATGACTTGAAGAAAAGGACTTACTGGAAACAGGAGAGGATTGGCGATGCAAAACGTGGATTAGAAGAACAGTTTGACCTCTGCTAAGAAGATTATCAGCAGCCCATTTAAGAGCGTGTTGGCTTCCTTTATCCTTATCTATAGCCACCGCCACCAATCCATTTCCTCCTCCTCCCTTTCTAATCCCTGACGCCTTCAGATTTGGAAGCCACATTTGCTCTTCCTCCCAGCCAACACAATTCTCATGTCATCACCCGATTTAGTGACAAAACTGTTTTTCAAAATAGTTCTTTAACGATTCTTGAATATGATTTATAGAAAACTAGCCCTAATTTATGGCCAATCAGTCAAACTTTTCTTTTCTTGTCCTGTTAGTTAAAAGCGCAAAGCGCAACCAAATAGAAACGAACAGCGGAAAAAAATTAGTGCCAATAATATAGCACTTGTACAATTGTACTTCCTTTCCCTAATGGGTCCTCCTTTAACGAAAGATTACTGGTTCAGATTTCACCACCATGTTCATATTTAGAGTACGGATAAATACTTTTTTGTTTTTGAGGACGAGTACGTTTATATTTATCGAATATAAACTTTGGTTCACAATTTCTTATAACCATGTCTTAATTATTAATTTTTGTCAATTAATGGTTAAAATTTTTATAAATTAAATTTATTAAATAATTATTAATTCACAATAAATGACAACTGTTATTGACGGAAAGATATGGTTGTAAGAGTTTGTAAACTATTTAGGTTGTAAATATAACCCCTCCCATATAAATTTATGTCATTTTAAATGAGAAAAAGATATAAATTAATATTTTTTATTTAAAGTAGAAATTTAAAAAATTATTCACTTTCTTTCTCATGACTTTCATTGTGTGTATTTCTTTCACTTAAAATGACATAACTCTATGTTATTTAAAAGGAAAAACATCTTGATTAATTATTTATTTAATTAATTTTACTTCCCTTCAACTAATTTTTCTCATCTTTTTAGAATATTTATTAAATAATTTAGTTAAATAACAGTATTATATATAAACTTAATCATTAATTTCACTTGAATATAATAATTTATATAACTAATAAATTAGAACGTTAAATTAATTAATAAATTTAATTTCTTTATAATCTTTTTCTCTTTATATATAGTTTATGGATTATTTTTTTTGCAGTGACTACAGATAAGTTATATACAGTATAAGCTTAATACGACATCATTTTAGGACGGAAATAATGATATTTTTATAATTTTAATTCATTTCAGGATTATAATAGTCTTTATATTTATAATTTTTAAGATTTCAATATTAAAATGACGTCGTTTTGAGAATAAATACAGATAAATTATCTGCACTAACTGCATAAACATTTTTCCCATAGTTTATACTCCTCGATGTAGTTTTTTTTTTTTTTTTTTTGGTGAGGTAGTCCTCGATGTAGTTAATTATAAGATATATGATATGTCGCCTCCTTTTTTATTATTTTTTTTCTCTTCTTGATACGTGATATTACTAAGGCTTCTCTTTGAGTAGACATCAACGGTGGGTTCAGGGTTCCCTCATGAATAAAATGAAAATTAATACATTCCTATGATTATCTCATGTATGACTTTCTCCTATGCTTTTGTGACACATGATCAATGTATTCCAATTGTCTGAGGAAATATTTGCACAAATTCATGCACACAAGTTATTTCTCTAAACTAAACGAAAAAAAAAATTAATTACATAAATTATTGTGTCCTACAATTTTTTTAATTTTTTAAAAATAATTTATTAATTGTTGATTGACTTAACTAATTATTAGTTAAAAAAGAATCTTAATGCAAATCTCAAGTTATCATAGGAAATGAAATTTAACGTTTTTCTTTCTTACTCATGCAGTGCTACTTCATTTTCTTTTCTTTTTTTATACATTATATACTACATTTTATTATTATTAATTTAGTATAACTTTAAGTTTATTTTTTGAAATGGTACACTACAAATTGTGGAAAAGTGTTAAGTCTCACCCATGACCTCGTCGCAGTTCTTTTTTAATAAATTTTTAATAAGGTCGTAGACACTAAATAGTAAGTACAACTTATATATAAATTTAATTTTTTAATATTAATTTTATGAAATTATTGACTTGGTAATTGACTTAGTGCAAATTTTTTTTGAAATTATATTAGTAAATTCATACATACGGACAAAGACTTATATTAATAATTGATTTTTATGTAATTTTCTTAATATGTGGGCATGAACTACAATTTTTTAATGCTGCAGCAGCAGTTATTTTTTAAAATAATATTTTTCCCAAAGTCATGGACATCAAACAAGACTAAGGCAAAATCGTGAACAAGAAGTACAACGTATTTTGATGTCTTACAATAATAAGGTGTTATTTATATAATTTTAGCAGTCGGAGAAATCACTGTAAATACCTATGTTATGTTAACATGAAAAAGACATAGACGTAAAAATTAAACTAACTAATAAATGAATTAAAAGAATTAAAGGTTAATTAAAAGTATATATTAATCTTCATGGGGAAAGCCAATTTTGTAGCTTGGAAAAAAAAAAATGTGAGTGAGAAGTGAGATCAATCATCAGACAGCTCTATAAGCATCCCTTTCTGTGGTGATGAGAGTTGAAGAGTATTGATCTCCATCAGTTTCACCCTCTTTCAAGTCTTCAATCTGCTCAAGAGCTTCCTTGATATCGAGCCTTCTTTCCACATTCTCCTCACAACAACTCAAGCCAATCTTTAAGAGTTTGAGCAATTCAGCTTTACTGTTTCCGATTCCTGTCATCTCAACGTCAAAGACATCACTGGTGCGTTTCTCGGTAATCATGATATTGACCCAACTGGCTATGTCAGAATCAGGATTATGCCTGTGTGTGAGATAGTTCTCTGGGAATTTGCCAGTCAAGATCTCAAGTATGAGAATTCCTAGACTCCAGACATCAGTCTTCTTTGTAATGCGTCCAAGTTGAGCGTACTCGGGTGATTTGTAAGGCATGATGATTTGTTGAGCATGGTCAAGGTTGATCATAGGACTCAGGGAATAATCAGTTAGTAGAGGCTCAAAACATTCATCCAAAAGCACATTTGAAGATTTGAGGTGACCATGAGGCACAATCACGCTTGGGAGTGCATTGTATAGGTAAGCCAAACCCCTCGCTACACCTTTTATGATTTTCAAGCGGGTTGGCCAATCAAGCCCAGGCTTTTGATAGTTATGATTACCTGCATATAGCACATGTATATGGGTTATATTTATCTCATATAGATAAATTAATTTCCTACACACACATAATAAAGATGGATCACATATCTATTTTTTCTCTTTCCAATTATTTGTGGGTTCCTCTTATAATTTTTGTCACTAACATGAGATAACTTATCTCCATCAACATAAGAAAAACATTTTTCTATATATATATATAGGGATTTAAGTTTCTCCTTTAACATAAGAATATAATCATCTTACACTAACATCGAATCTTGTGCCAAATCTTTATACTTTTATTTTTTTTTTCAAAACAGGTAGGCCCCATCAATTATGTTTCACATACATGAGATATCAATTCTCCTTTTAAAGGAGAAATGTTTAACCCATATATATATAAGAGAAAAAGTTTCTGATATTACTTTAGACAACTTTGTCTATAAAGTAACTTTAGAAAAAATAAATCCATATATATATATATATATATAAAAGATGTGATTGATGTATACGAAGAATGGAATGGAATTGAATTGAATTATATATTAATTAATTACCATGAAGATTGCTGGCCAAGCAACCGTTGTCAACAAAGGAAGTGAGCAAGAGTTTCTCTTCTTTCCTATAATAATAGGCCAAGAGAGGGAGAAGATTGGGATGGTTGAGGTTGCCAAGTCTTCTCATGTGCTCATGGAACTCCTCTCTGGGCACATTGTTCATTTGTTTGTACCTCTTGACAACCACGGCTTGGCCGTCGAGAACCACAGCCTTGTAGGAAGACCCAAAAGCGGCACTGCCAAGAATTTCAGCAGAGGACCTTAGCAAATCCTGTAAATCAAACTTGAGTCTGTCATGCCTGAGGAATGTCAGCTTGCCTTGTTCCCCCCTCTTTGAATGTCCATGACCATGATCCTTAGGAACTGCATCATAGTGTTCCGCTAGGCTTTTGGTTTTGACATAAGTGGGAGTAACGTATTTGTTGGAGGCCTGGAACGTTGAGGCCTTAAAGTGGGATTCGGATTCGGATTGGGATTGGGATTGGGACCTGAACCTCACGCGGCGTATGACCAAGACTGCAACCAGGATGGCTAGTATGAATGCTATCATGAATATTATAAGTAAAATTTTCAGAATGCGCATTCTTGCTGGAGTCTCATCCACGGTTGCTTGACACCGATTCGTCAGAGGTGGCCCGCATAGACGTGTGTTGCCTGCATTAATGCATTCAGATATATCTATCTATCAATTCGATCGACTAGCTATATATATATATATAGACACACACACACGTAAGATTTACATTTCTGCAGTTGCTGTACGTGCAGCAATCAAATACTTGCCATATATATATACTTGAAAGCATTAAATGCGAAGAATCATAACCATACAAAGGATGAAATCATTAAATGTGAGGAATCATAATCATACATCATAATCATAATCATATATATTTGTGTAGAAGAACATCACTATTCATTAGCTAGCTAGCTCATCAAGGATACATTTATATTTATATTTATATATATATATACCTCTAAAGGAGGATGCATCGAAGGTGGTTAGATTGGCCGGGATGGGACCCTCTAACTCATTGTTAGAGAGGTTGATGATCTTCAAATTGTTGTGTTGAAAATCAGGGATTTGACCTTGAAACTTGTTGGCGTCGAGCCTAAGGACGAGCAGAATAGGCAAGGTAGCAAGGGAGGAAGGAATTTTGCCGGTAAACTCGTTGTTGGCCAAATACAATTTCCTCAGCTTAAGCAAACCGGCAAATGCATCGTCAGGTATGTTCCCTGAGAAATGGTTGTAGGACAAGAAGAGGGCTTTCAAATTTGGCAGCAACTTGATGTTGGGCAAGGGACCCACAAAGGTATTGTTCATTAGGCTAATGGTCCGAAGAGCGGACATTAAAGCGAGGGATCCCGCATCAATGTTGCCTGTTAGACCCATGTTCTCAAGTCGCAACCCCCAAACCTTGTCATTCAAACAAAACAGGCCAACCCAATTGGAAATGTTGCCATTGCAAGGTGGCTTTGGGTTTATGGATGGATCCCAACTGCTAAGGGCTACCACATTCTTCAATGAATCCTTGAACTTCAAGAGCGCCTCAGCATCTGAAGAGCCGCCGCATGAACATGATGATATTATTGATAGCAATACCAAAACAACAAAGGTGAACGACAACTTGACATTATTTGATGCTGCAGGTGCGCGCACAAGCGAAGCAGAGCGCGCGCCCATTAGCATTGTCAATGACGATGACAATGACAATGATAATGAGAGGACAAGAAACCCAAAACAAAACCCACAATTCTTTTATTCTTAGCAGCAAGGCATTGGTGGCATTCGGCTGCATGTCATTCTTTTAACTCTCTTTCTCTTTTATTGTTGTTGATATTATTATTATTATTATTATCATACAGCACCAAAACCAAACTGCTGATAATCTCTTTCTTAGTCCCTAGCTAACAGCACCATCAACCTAGCTTGGCCTTTGGACATTGATAGATAACAAATTACTAATGATCAGAGAATAATGACGTGGATTAGAATTATAATATCAGCAGCCCATTTAAGAGCGTATTGGCTTCCTTTATGTTTATCTATTAGTCACTGCCACCAATCCATTTCCTCCTCCTCCCTTTGGAAGCCACATTTGCTCTTCTTGGCAGCCGACACAACTCTCATATCATCATCACCCCTCAATACTGAAAATAGAAAATTACTCTTATTCTTTTACACGAACACAATAAACATCCGATTAAGTAACAAACTGTTGTTCAAAATAGTTCTTAACCGATTCTTGAAAATGATTTATGGAAAACCATCCCTAATTTATGGGCAACCAGTCAAACTTTTCTTTTCTTGTCCTATATTAGTTAAAGGGCAACCCAAAAAAATATAAAATAACAGCGGAAAAAATTAGTTCCAATAATATAGCACTTGTACTGCCTTCCCCAATGGGTCCTTCAACTAAAGATTACTGGTTCATATTCCACCACCATGTCATATTTAGGGTATGGATAAATACTTACATAGATAAAGATACCATATGGCATATGCTTTTTTCAAAAATTAATATGAACTGACGTTCTCTTATTGAATACTAATATAATGTTTGGGAAAAATATTTATCATTCTAAATGACACAACTTTGTGTTATTTTTAATGAAACTACGTGCATGTGCTTTTTTTATTTTATTTACATTTTTTTAATATAAAATTAGGAAGAAAAAAAAATGAAAAAGAGAGAATATAAAAACACACTAAAACGACACAGTTTCGTTAAAAATACACAAAATTATGTAATTTAAAAAGAAAAACAATTTTCCCATAATGTTTTCATAAAACAGTTAGAGGCAAGTTTAATTGTGCGCGTAAATTAGAATATGTTGTTTTTAAAAAATATTTTGAAAGAGTCTTTTAAAAATCTATAAAAATAATTATTACTAACCATGCGCACGCACGACCTTTTTATTTTTTTAGTTTCACTGCTATTTGTTTATGGGTCTTTATTTTGTCATATTACAGAAGAAAATTCTTATCATGCAAAAGTAAAGGACAAAATAATAATAATAATAATAAAATGGAATAAGACACTTTGTTCAATGATTTTGTTTTGACATATCTTAACATGATCAAATTATTTTCTCTACAACATAACTCTTATTTATCCCTTTGATTATTTAACTAATTTTTTCTCAACATTTTAGAATGTTTATTAAATAGTTTAGTTAAATAACAAGTCTTATATAGATTTGTTTGGACAAAACTCTTAGCTTTTGACAAGTTCCACCTGTATTGAACCCGACAAGTATTGAACTCCCTAGTCAAAGTTCATTAAGGGCTTATTTGAGAGTTAATTTTAGGAGGGAAGGAGGTTATTAATCTCCTCCCTTATTTTGTTTGGGAGTTTAAAAAGTGATCGAGGGAAAGAAATTGAGGATTTTCACAAAACCTTCCAAAATCTTTTTTATTCTTAAAATTAAGTTCTCCATTTCTAGGGTTTTAAGAGGTAAAATATTTGAATTTATTTATTTACCTATATTCTGTCTTAGGGACAGAGATGTCCAGCCCAATGGACTAGTACGTTAATCTTGGATCTAGTGCCCTCTCCAAGGTATCTATGAATGAGATACCTTTGAGTCAAGCAGATCACAGTGCACAGTAAACAAACAACGGCTTTGCCAAAGAGGGGTGTGTGTGCGCGCAGTGTGTAAGAACCTGTACCGTTAATTAAGGAAGTTAATTAATTAATTAAGTGAAATTAGGAAATAATTCCATAATTGACCCTAATAATTATTATGAGGCTTAAATAATTATGGTAAGTGAGTAATAATGCTGAAAGTCGCTTTTCTAATGAAAAGTGCAGATACCGGTTTTGCTACTCGGTATAAATATGTACCGATGAAGTATCCCGGAAAATTATGAAAAACGTGTATATGTCACTAGAATAATATATAGGACTTGTAAAACAAGTTTCAAGTTAAAATAATGGGAAATGGTGCCAGAACTGATAATGGTTACGGAAAAGCGCGTACCAGAAAAGTGCTGCGAAAAATAAAATAAAAATTTGACAAATCATAGAAAAATGAGTAGGTTCAGAATCCTAAGTTTGGGATTAAAATACTAAGCATAGCTATTAGTGCTGATACTGTGCGATTAATGATCAGTGGGCTATAAATAGGCTTGGGCACAATGCCCTAGGTCATAAACCTTCAGCCTCTACATGAAGTTTTCTAGTCTTCATCAGGTGCCACCCTTCTCCTTCATTGTCACCCTCTTTTCTTCACTTAAAACCTCCAAGTAGTCACATTTGTTCATTGTTCCTTCAACAAAGTAGTGTGGGTGAGTGAGAGCAAGCTTGAGAGGGTGTGAAGTCTCACATTCTGAGTGTGTGTGGTTGCTGTTTGGGTGACTTGAGTGGCTGAGCTTTCTTGTTGGTTGTGAGAAAACCATTTTCTTAGCACATAAGGCTTCAAGAAGCCATTTTGATGATGAAAGGTCCAAGCTTGCAGCTTATTTTCGTGGTCTTGAGGTGGCAGAACCATAGTGCTGTGTAGAGGACCCCTTGTGTGTCTCATTTTCGGAGTTTTGGAGCCTTAGAGGCATTCATGATCACCTCTTTGTTATTTTGACGTTTTAAGCTTGTTTAATCGGTTAAAAAGTAAAACTTGGATCATTTAAGTAAAGGAATGTGTTTCTGAGTTCTTAACATGCTTATGAACATCTGTTTTGGGAGTCATTGGACTCCCAATCGCATTTGGACCCTTAAAAATGGGATTATGCAGCTGTCTGTTCAAAATTCTGCATTCTGTTGGAGAAGTATTCGAATACTATTCGTGTAGTATTCGAATACTTGTCCTATGGTAGTCGAATACTCCTTGCAGGAGTATTGGAATACTTTTCTGGGAAGAAAATTATTCGGATACCATTGAAGAAGTATTCAAATACTGGATAGTATTCGAATACAGTGGGTTTTGGTATTCGAATACAGTGGTATTCGGATACTGGGGAAAAAGTATTCAGATACTTTGTGGTATTCGAATACTTAAGTGAAAGTAGTCGAATACTTTCAGGAGAGCTAGAGTATTCGAATACTACCTCTGAAGTATTTGAATACCTCCTGCAGAAACAGCATGAAATGAGTTAAAATGAGTAAGAAAGCCTTAATCACTTATAGAATCTTGAGCAATGATTATTGATGATTAATTTGTATAAACAGATTGCGATTGTGCTGGTTGTGGGCCTTGAGCTTGTGTGGACTCTTGGCTTGGATTGTTAGCTTGCAAGGTAAGCTTTCGTGTCCTCGGTTTAGCCATTGTTTGTTCCACCATGTACCATGGGGGGATGGTTTATATGCATGATGTGTTTTCATGTACTGTTTTATTGAAATGCTATGGAGCTGTTAAGTGAAAAATGCTTATGATATGTATGTGGTGTTTTGCCTAGCCATGAAGCCATGGGGTGGTACTGGGGGAGGGTACAACATGGGCTGGTACTGTGTGGGTAATAGGCGTATTCCTGCACTTCTCTGATCAGTAGAATTGTTATAACACACATGACATGATTATCTGCTGCATTGCACAATTTTGGAACTTATACTATGTAACTGCTTTTGGAATTTATATTGCACGTGTAAGTGAGCTTGGGGTGGAAGATCCTTGAGGACCCCTTGTCTTACTGAGATTTCTTTTTAGAGATCTCACCCCACGTTTGGGGCACATATTTCAGGTTCAGGTAATGCAGGGGTTGAGACCTCTAGCGGCAGGAGGCCGGAGCTTAGCTGATTATATGTTGTTATGATGCTTATTTTGGATGCTGGATATTGACTGTTGCCTTTTATGCTTTTAGCTTCATGATGTTATTGTTGAGACTTTTGTAGGGCCTTGTTGCCTTATTTGGTGAGCATGGGGATTGTCCATGCCATATTGACTTGACATTATATTTAGTTGTTTCTAGTTGTAATTAATAATGTATCAGGATATTGTCCGGACTACGTGTTGTAGATCCGTAACTTAGATACTCACATCTATGTTATGAGGTATTTCAGTTAGTTGTTGGATTGCAATCACATACAGGCGATATTTTGTAATTGAATTTTAATAATCAACTTGGCTAAGTATAATGACGTCATAATTGAATAGAAAAAGTTATTCCGCATTTTTATATTAAGCGTGGCTTAATACGATGACATGTTAACAAACCGGGTTAACACGAGGTGTTACACAGTGACAACATAACAGTAAGAGAGAGAGCGTAGCTTATCTTTAGGGTTTACCTTGTATTTATAGAGGTTACCTGTGGGTAGTATGGTATGGGCCTTTGGTGCCTCTGAAAGGGGCCCAAGCCTGTTCACTATGCTGTCATATTAGGATTAGTATCCTTGATGGATACTATCCGTAATTATGACTGATTCACATCTTGTATTGCCCATTATTGGGCCTGTCATTCAATGGGCCCCTTATATGGGTCCATAACAGTTGCCCCTCAGCCAGAGTACCTGGGCATCCGGGTTGCTGGGGTAAATTTCTTTGCGCTTTACTCGCTTTACTTCGAGCTTCTTATTGGGCTGAGAGCATTTGACTGTCTTGTAAACTCTCTGCATGAGTTCTTGATCTGTGTTTTTCAACCGGGGTCCTTATTAACCCTTATCTCGGCGAGTTGAGCATGAACCCGGGAAAGCGATTCATGTATTCCTATACCGAGTTTGGGATGTGCTTGAGTAGTTGGAATCCAACTAACGA